ATTAATTTTTGCTAATGTTATATAAATATTTTGCGTTATCTTATAGAATATACTGTTTTTTTTTTTTTAGTAAACGATTTTTTATAAATAGGTACCAATATAACAAAAAAAAAAAAAAAAAAAATAACATTACCGTAAAACCAATGATATGAACTATTGTATTTTTTTTAACTAGTTTATAAAAGTATCGCTCTTAATTATGTTAATGTTTTTCAAAACCTTTTAAATTTTATTGAATTTCGATTCGAATATCTTCCTCGTTGAAGTTTATCGTGTTTGCACAATCGAATTTAGCGGTCTCAACATGTCCAATCCTCTGTGGGATTCTAACATATTTAGTTGAATTGTATTTGATAATAATAATTATTACCTGTCGAGTGCAATCGAAATGTGATAAAACTTAGGGAAGGAAAACGTTATTGAACGAAAATATTCAATAACATAAAAAAAAAAAAAAAATCGAAATATTATGTAATGAAAATATGGATAAATTATGCTAGAATACAAATGATTTAAAAAACAATAAAATAGTTGTGTAACTCTATAGTAATAATAATTCTGTTATCGAAAAAAATGGTAATCCTAATCGGTGAATTGCACTTGTTTGGAAAATGATTAGAACCGTTTTCGGAAACCCGGCCCGGTCGCATATTAACACACTGCACATGGTGCACACGAAATTAAGTACTACCCGACGTGGTTTAGATAGCAAATCGGGGCTTATTTTCCATTAATTTCCTCAATTCGCTTCGTCTGGAACCAAAGGCTACGGACAAAGTAATATTACGGTAAATTAAATATATAAGTATTTAGTATTCAAATTAACAAATTTAATTTTAACTTAGCGAACATTTTATCTAGTTGGTGTATTGAGGAAGCCATTTTTGATTTTCGAAGGACTTTCATAATAATCGAGGTAAGCGGAAAAAATTGTTTGGAGAAAACGGCAAATATTTACATCATGTCACAACGTTACCGATTTCATTCTTTTTAATTTTTGTAAAAGATATTTGCTACCAGAAATATTGCTCCAATAGATCAACAACAAGTAACATTTTTATTCAATTTAATATGTATGGAAGAAGTAATTTTTTGATATAGAAAGCAGTTTTCATAATAATTTTGAAAAACCAAAAGAACAAAACTGATCAATATTTACATCAATTTTGCGTCCCGATTTTAATTATTTAAATTTTTTTATAAGATGTTTTCTACCGAAAAACTTGCTCCAATTGAAAAATTACAAGAGATCAATTGTGTTCCTTTTAATATATATTCATTGTCAAAAAAAAGAGTTATTTGATTTTTCAAGCAGTTTTCATTGTAATTGAGAAATTTCATCATAATTGAAAAAAGACGAATTAAAATGAATAAATTTACGGCGTTAGGTTTTCTTTATTTTAAATTTTTAAGGCTTATGTTTTCTACTAAAAATATTGCTATACTAATAAAACAACAAGTGACCTTTTTTGTTTCATATATAAATTAAATAACTTTATGTATACGGTCTTTCCAACTACCCACCTATAACAGTGGCACACCCGTTCTTAATATTAGTTCTTTTTTTTAATAACTTTTTTGAATCGTTATAAATAGCTATGGTATTTTTAAGGTACTTTATGTTTTATTATACTTGTGAAATATAATAATGTTTATTATGTACCGCGAATCTCAGTGCTGTTTGGATTTTTTTTATGATACTTATTTAAATACGTAAATTATGATAATAAGAGACGCGCGATGAATACGACTTTATTTCATACAGCTAAAGATAAATGCCACGACAGTCTTCCAGAGGATTTGTACGATAAATTGAATGAGGTTTTTGTTTTATTTTATGTATACATCATGAGTAAATATATTATAATTTTAAAATGCATTTGAATTATATGTCCCTTTAAATTTTTTAAAAAAAACCAAACATATTCCGCAACTTCATACCATAGGTGGGTCGTATTGAAAACGTGTAAGATATATCATGGGGTGTTTATACATATACGATGTACGGAATGATAAACCGTTGCAAATGAAAAACGATTCTGATCGAAGTTCAGTTAAACGTGTTATGATAAATTCCAATTGAAAATTATTGCTATAAATTAACATATAATATGTAATACATTACAATTTGTCGTGTTATTAGCGAACTTTAAAGCAATCCTTTTGACGATGATGAATAAATTATTACCGTTAATGCGAGTTTCGATAAAATAAATGTATTAAATACTATCTATTTATATGCGTGTTGAACGTTGCTTATTGAAAGGCGACTTTTCCTCTATGCACTCGCATTATATTCGATACAAGAGATAATCTCACAACAGAATTTTTTTTTATTTTTTTTTTTTTTTATATTCCATTTAGTTTCTTTTTTAATACAATGACTCTAAAGTAAGTATATTATGTCAGCATGGACGTAATTTAGTTTCAGCGCGTTTATGTTCGTTCGATAAAAAACGCTACGCTTTCAAAAGAATATACCTACCTAGAAAGAATATTTGACATTTAAAAAAAATATATATGATTTGTATTAAATATTATTATATAATAAAAAATCGTTTTAAACACAAAAAAAAATATCACAGCAGTGTATTATTAGATGAGCTTTTAATAAATTCTAAAATATGGCGGGTACATTTGAATCACAAGAAATTAGTGAAATTATTAAAAAAATAATCTGTAAAAATATGTCTTATATAATGCAATGTAATAACGCAATGCCTTCCAAAATTAAATTAAACGGTAAGTTTGAAAAATGTTTGGTTGTTGTATAGCAAAATATTTAGACCATTGTTTTCTAACCTTTATAACATAACTAAGCAAAAAAGAAGGGGAGGAATCATTGGAACCGTGGACTACTAATAGCAGGCTCACGTCAATTGGTTGGGTCAAAAACTACTGATTTAATTTGTGCTTTTTGATAATAAAAAATGATAACAATATGATTGAAACATATTTCTCGTGTCATTAAATAAAATAAATTGTGTAAATCACGGCAAAGCTGCGTTCGAAAATTCAGAATAGAGCAAATTAGGCTAGGTTTCTACTGACTATTTGACCACGTATTACCTACTCTAACTACTGACACTTTTATAACTGGCAAATCAGAAACTATGGTGGGAGGTTTGTACCCCAGATCGTCTAGGCCTTGTTGGTGAGAAATTAGAAACAAAAATATATAATACATGCTATCATTGCAATCACTGTCGATGCAATCAAAGTAATCCATTGCAATTTTCTGGGATTACAAAACTAAAAAAAAAAAATAACTTTACTTATCAAAGTTTACGACATTGATCGTTAACTCTGTTTTCTTGAACGACCCACAATTAACTATAATCAACTCGAATTGAGTTTTCGAACACACTCCAAATAAGAACTTATACGAAACATCAAAACTAAAAATTATTAAAATATGAATACCTTATGGAAATTTAGTCAATAACGCTGGTTTTCGACACGATTAGATTTAACAACAAATTACTATTTTCAAATTGCATTGAGTTTTGAAATGCAAATTGTGATTAGGATTAAACATCGCAACGTTTTGGAATTCACCCTAAATATGATACTTATCGGTTTTGTAGTTAAACAGCACATTTAGAGCACGTTAAATTTTATAAATTACCTATGCTTTTTCATTTTACTTTATTATACATAATTTTAAAATTATAAATTATCTGTCATTTATAAAGAACGATACGGTATTCGGTGTCTTACTTATTTTATATTATTAGATATTCAAGCATAACATATTATATTGCAGTAGGTGGTGAAATTACACTCCATAAATCTAAAACAGAATATGTTACGCAATTGTAGATTTTTTTTTATTTTGAATACGTAAAAAAACAAATATCATACCATACTATACTCGTATAATAAGAACAAATAATATTATTATTAACAAAATTCTCTCTTCTTTTACAGGCGAATATTTTTTAGATTTTTAGTGAACCAAAGAATGCATTAGTTTTACTACGATGTGTTCTATAAACAATTTTTACATGAAATCGTTTAACAATCAAACAAATTTTAGTAACTTTCTTGTAAAATTGTTTGTATAGTTAATGCTTTAAGAATGTCATCTTTTGATAATTTTCAAATAAATGTAAATAACTGTCGTCAAATTTGTGTGGAATTTTAGTTAATTTATGGATACTTTGACATGCACACTTTTATCTTCATACGATTAATAATACTTTGCTCAAAATCATTTATGTTATCAATTGGTTTATTATTTCGTACTGATATAAATTAGATTACTGTCTCTCTCTCTGCCTTTATATATAAATATATCGAATTTCCATACTAAACTAATGGCTCGCAATTTGAAAATGGCAGCCTTTGATCTCCTGATAGTACGAAGTTTCATTTATTGGTCTTTAAACTATGAAAATGTTTATCGCAGGAATGGTTTTGAAATTTATCGATCTATAGTCTAATGTCTATTTGTAATTATAAAGTTTTATATTCATGTCATCAAAAATTTCGTGGGATTTCACAAACGATATAATATTATCCCAAACCAAAAAGTAGGTGATCCATTTCTTTTTTCATTATAAATCAAATTGTCTGCGAAAAGGTAGACTATTAAAGCCTATGATGTCTTTTCCCCTCTACTTTGTACACTTTTAGTAGCTCCCCCTAGAGAAATAAAAATTGTTTTATATAGGCGAGTTGAAATGCTAAAAGTCGGGTTGAATTTTAATGTGAATTTCACTACGTTATTGTTGCGAGAAGAAGGTATATTATATGAATACCCCTGCAAACCCTTCAAATAAAGTCGGGAGGGGAGGGGTAAAATGTTGTATATACATTCAGGGTTTTCAACTTGTAATCCCCGTCGCTATCATTTTTATGCTTAAATTTCACAATTTTGTATTTTTGAATGCGGTTTAGTATATGTAGGATGTTATTTATTATTTAGCATACGAGATGTAGCTATTTAAAAACGGGATTTTTGTTGTAAATGTTATTTATTTTTAAAATTACAATAATTAAATACGATCTCCTTCTATAGACTTCCCACCATTTATTATACACCGTTTCATTCGTGTCTTCCATTGCTCGAAACAGTGTTGCAACTCTTTAGACGCCAAGCCCTTAAGTAGGTCCGCCGCTTTAGTCTTCACCTTTTCCACGAATCGAAAATGAATCCTCTTCAACGCAGTTTTTATTTTTGTAAATAGATAAAAATTGCAGGGTGTTAAATCTGGTGAATATGGAGGATACTCGAGTGCCGGAATGCGTTTATTGGCTAAAAACTGCTTAACAGATAAAGCATTGTGTGCAGGCGCTTTGTCTTGATGTAGAATCCACGTATTTTTCTTCCACAAATATGGCCTTTTCTTTTTTACTCGTTCCCTGAGCTTAATTAGAACCCAACTATAATACTTTTGCTTAAATGTTTGACCTTGAAGAACCTATTCGATCATAATTATGCCCTTGATATTAAAAAAAAAAAAAAAACGATAAGTATCACCTACAATTTGGACTTGCTCATTCGAGCTTTCTTGATTCTTGACGATGTAGGAGTCTTTCATACGTTTTTATCAGAAGGTAACCCCGTTTTTAAATAGCTACGACTCGTAGAATTAGTCTATAATACAAAATAAACGGAAGAGGGGGTGGGAATTCAAGTTTAGTGTACAGTGTTCAACTCATTCATCAATGCACAAATCAAATAAACAAAACGAATAACATTTTTTTTTTTTTTTTTCAACGAAGATAATACAATAATAATTTAAAAATAATATTGGTGTTTTAACAATAAGGTTATTCGAGTCAACGAGGAAACTGCAATACTAAGTACAAAAGTATAATATCACAAATGTTATTTTAAAAAAAAAAAAAAAAATACAAATAAAAATGAATATCTTTATAATTTAGATACTTCTAAATCGGTTAGCATAGATATTACTTACGTCCTTTAGTTTACAGTAGTTTAATTTCCGCGCGGTATAATAATAATTCCGAATTGGCATTAAATATATTGTTATATCGCGTGTAAATGGATTAACACTAATTCGTATTATACCACAACGAAATGATTTATAAACCGTTTTTAATCGACTACACGTGTATATATAATATGCATTATGAGTACATAATATTTTATCAATATGCAAAAAATCTGATGCGTAAGCGTAACGGTAAAAGAACCCAATTAACTTATTGAAACGCATAACCGCATAGTATAAATATTCGATGTCCGTTTGTTTTCGATAATATTCAGTTTAGAAATAAACTAGAAATAAAAATATGAATATCAACTGCTGCAGAAGTATAGGTTTTTATGTGTCACTTTTGTTCAACTAGTGCGCAGGCAAAGTGAAACGTTGGGACCTCCAAAAAGCAAATGGTCACTCAAACGATAGCAATAAGTTGCATGTTTTTATTCTATTACGATTTTCCCCGTTTCATTTATGGTTTTATCATCAGCATATACTTGAAAACTAAATGGAGATGTAAGGAGAGGACAAGGCGGAAATACATTGGATTATTTACATTTTTCGGATAACGTGTAAAAGACATTATGGGACCACGTGAGTTTGTATACTATAGCTGTGCATCAAATAGGTGTATTTTTAATTGTTCTCAAGTAAATAATATATAAGTTTGTATGCTTTGCAAGTATGTTGAAAAGCATAATAATTTATTGTGTTCCAGTGTCCTTTGAATAGTTACTTCTCCCACGGTTAGGTTTTAAATTCACCACGAAGCGTATTATATTACAAAAATAAAATAACATTCCGGCCGCGTTCGTGTTTTTGTGAAATGTTGGTTTTGCTACAGTTGTCAAACGTGAAACTTTTTCTATTTAATAGAAAACACTATATTTTAACATACCACGAACTGTTTTTGAGTGATATGCCTAAAGGTTTATGCTGCAATACAGATAAAAAAATTGAGTAAAAAAAAAAAAAAGAAAAAAACCGCCCGTAGTGATCTCCTTTGCGACAAAGACAATGGCATCGACATGATATATATAAATTTTAAATATACGCTTGTGTAATTAAAAACAATATCATCAAATAACAATCAAACGTTCAAACGTGAAAATACCGCATAAAATTAAGTCCGATTGTCATTTTGCATACTTGTAAAGAATATTTGAATTTCCGTTTATTTAATATAAATATTTTGAGAAATAGTTAATAATAAACAATTATAAACGATTGCTTGTACATTAAATATATAAGCAGTTTACTAAATTTTAGTAAACAAATATTATGTACCGACAGACAAACAAATACTACTAAAACGTCTAATTTTATTTCGTAACGATGTCGTGTGTTCGCAAATAGAATAGGTAAATGAAAAATCGAATTAAGATGGAGTGTGCGTCTTGGCGGTCTTGTATTGTTTCATGCGATTCATCTCGATAAAATTCGAATCTTTTCGACAATTTTCGAATTTTCTTTGTAGACCATCTTTCTTATAATTTAATTTATATAGTAGGTACCTACTACCTATGTATAAATATATATTCTATCGGTGTACAACATAGTTAAAACTTTCCACGTAAACCTAATACGTGTTCGTTGCGATATATATATATACGATTAAAGCAATTAAGTAAATCGCGCAAGCAAGTCCGCAAAATTACTACGAAATCGTTAGCAAGTTTTTCCCATCTACCCGACACCGAAACCGCGAGAAGAAAATCACACGAAAGTTTCAAAACAATGCTCGATGGTTTTGAGGATTAAAGTTCATATTATAGCCTACCTATACGCGATGTTTGTAATTTTATTGATTTAGTCGCGTTTGATACTATGGATAAGTAATAGGCGAGTGCGCCTTTTTTTTCAATTAACAGCGCAACATTTTATTAACCCTTGAGCAATCACGCGAGGATCTTATTGACCCTCGCTCCACCCATCAAAAATAAAACTTATATATAACAAAACAAATGTAACAATACAGTTTTGTATTTATTTTGATTTTATTTTTTTATAATTCAATTTTTATCCGTATTTTATTTTCGTATCCATCCAGAGATGGAGACTACTTGCATGGTCGTTCGGGAGGTTTTCGGCGTTCCCACCGTCGGGCCGCAGCGTGGGGCGTTCTCGGGCGGCCCACCTACCTTTTGGCAACGGAGATTGCGTCAACAAACGCGTGTCGGTAGACATCCGGCTGCCTCCGTCGCGTGCTGATCATCTGCTTCGTCGGCGGCTGGGTGTCGAGATATGGCCAAATTTTGTTATTCACGAAAAATAGCCCGGGCGGTCTCCGGAGCCCCGGTGTCAGTCCTTGCTCGGTCGTCCTGACGGCGGTCAATCCGTAGGCAGACGGAACGGCGAATTATGTAGCGGGTGCATAGACCGCGCTACGGTGCATTGATATGCACCCGGGGCGTCTCCATAGCGCGCGGGGCCCTGATTACCCCCGGGTCTCTACCCGTTTGCACCGCGCTTAGGCGCGGATTAAAAATCGGGTTCGCTGCTGTACCGCGAAACTAATTGGACACGGTCGTTTAATGAGTAAAATTTAAATATTTAGTCAAATACTTACGTTGGCGGGACATGCGTCGAAACCCCGGCGTTTCGAAATATGTTAAACGAAACTTTAGAACCTCAGAATCGTTTTTCAAAGCAGTCATAGAATTTCTAGAGGAAAAAACTCAACCGTATGACATTCAATGATATTCGGTATTTTCGTGCGGCGACGTTTACGGAATTATGTTATGCATTATGAGTTATTGAATCGATGGCCGAATGCAAATAAATCCGAACGCGAAACATAAGCGCGTCGACATAACATATAATACGGGCATTATGTAACACGATATTCCCAACTTTCGAGTTCTGTAGGGAATATTTTCGCTGGGAAATTCAAATCGAAACGAATATAAATCTAGTATTTATATTTGCCCGGCAAAATATGTTAGTGATTTACCACACGTAATTCAGGTACACCGTTAATGTCTTTATTTATTCACCTGTTCACCTTGTTTCGGTTACGTGCGTTTTCTCTACTCAATAAGTTCATTTTGTTATGTTCTAAACAGGGCGACGCGATTTTTTTTATAGTAAAATAAGAGTTCTGTACAGATAACTACGCAGACGACATTGCAGATGGAATCTGAATAAGGAATACATATACTACGACGACGGCGGCGTCACAACCATCCTTTCCGATCTTGTCCTCCGAGTATACTTTCAACAAGTGTCAGATGGATTATTTTTTTCATTGTTATTATTTTATTATTATGTCAACTTTTCAAGAAATATGACTTCGTCGTATATTACAAATAATATATAAAATATTACGAACCGATAATATTTAATATATAAATATAATAAACGTAAAGAACGGTGGAAGGTTTATGTACAATATTTGGATTATTACACTCGTTTCAATCTGTTTATTCGAGTAGAACGTAAATAAAATGGAACATTTTTTTTTTTTTTGCAAGTATCTAAGTACTCTTTTATTTTAAAAACATACACATCGTAATAAAAACCAATAATATTTATATAAATTCTTCGCAACACTCAAAATCTAAAAATTAAAACCAATTTTAAGTTCTGTATTCGTTAAAATCTTTGCGTGTTCGTGTTTGCTATTTCGCTATTAAGGTCTTTGGATACTATGTTATCAATGGAGGCGTGAATGGGTATTCTACAAAGTGGTCGTTTCATGTAAAAACCGTCGCGGTACCCCCTTATGGCCCAGTCTAGTCGATTAAAAGATGTATCCTACTAATATAATTATTTAATTTTTGTAGAATACACGTTTAAAAAACTTTTTATTTCGGTATAAATCATGATATTTAAAGAGTTTCATATTTATATTGAACGGAGGAAAATAAGTTTAAGACCATCTTGAATCTACAGGCACATTTCAAAAATCATATTCTATAACAATATATTTTAGGTAACAGTGACATCAGTAACATGTAAAGAGGCAGGCGAAGCGAAGCAACTAATATACTACACTAAGTATTAGAAACTTGTATTTGTTCATAAATGCAATTTTATGTCATGAATTAAAATTTCAGAACACGGACGTCATTATCCACACTAACGATTGGGATTACCGACTCATATAATACTATTATATTATTATAATGTACTTTGTATTTTATTTAGTATTAATCTAAAACGACTATTTGTCAAAGTTTGTAAAAAAAAAGACATATTTCGCATGACGGGTGGGCCAATTCCGAGGGGAGATCGGTTATACATGTTTAAAAGTGATTTTCGTCAAAATTTAATATTAAAATATTGTTAGATATTTAAAAAAAAATACTACATTAAACTTAAATTTATCTTGTTTACCATTAAGTGCAGCTTATAATGGCCCTCCGAATAAATTTTCAGGCATTTATGTTTGTTCTAACAATTCCATTCACAGAGTACCTAGTGAATAAAAGTTACGTAAAAAACTTGCAAAATTAAAATGTTTATAAATAGCTCAAAAATGACTTAAATGTCACTAATCATTATTTTCGTACATTTTCTCGTTTTTTACCGGGTTTTCCCCAATTATTATGAAAACTGCTTGGAAAATCAAAAAATGACTCGCCTGAAGTACCATTGATTAAAATTTCCTTTTAGAAAAAGTACTACACTCAATACATCGGAGTAAGATTTCTAACAGAATTTGTATACACAGTGTGTATGAAATAAAAATAATTGTAAAACAAATACATGTAGCTCCGTTCCGCTCAGAATATATGCATTTATATACCAGAAAACTCTATAATAGTATACGGGTAGGTATTATAAATTAATCATCGCTTATAATATACGAGTAAATGCCCAACGATGTTTAGACGAACAAATCAAAAATACTCTAAAAGTTTTCTATGAGATATATTGACAAATGGTTTTCTATTTTACGCATGTTTATCGTTTAAAAGCTAGTGTTGTCTCGTATATATATATGTATGTTCGAAAGTAGTTTTTATTTTTCAAGGAAAAACTTATGCCTTTATAGAAAAGAAAAAACGAGAGACTATATATTATATAAGCCATTTTACTTTTGAGGATTTTATGTAAGTACTTGCATCCGCAAAATCCCAAGTTAAATTTCCGTTAAATCAATCGGTCTTTTATCATGAATAGTACAGAACAGTGATCGGCAAACTTTTCGGACAATTTGGTCATGTTAAAAAATGTAAAAGGTTTCGCGGGCCGGGTCGGACAAATGTACAAAGCCGTTAGTGCATTTAGTTAGTAGCGTTTACAAATGTTAAATTTATATTTGAACATGTTACATAAAAGTGTAGAGATTATAATTGTCTGATGAAAGAATAGTATTTTTTCAATTACCGCATTTGTATTACCCTTCTAAACACATGGTGGAACACCGTCAACAAAAAATAAATACAGTTCAATTATTTGTAAAGATAAAATATGAAGTATTCAATTAAAATTTCATAATTTTGGAAATAAACGCGCGGAACACCGTGCCAGTTGCCGACCACTGAAACATGTACTTACTATACGAGATACACGTATTTGTAAATTGAAAATTGGCTAATCCGTCAGTAAGATCGAAAACTTTAGTAAAAACATCAAAAATTGTTTATTTTCGCGTTAAAAAGATGTTTACGAAAACTAGTGCCTGTCAATTGCCAAATAGTCGATTTTGATTTATACCGCGAAGTCAAAATGTTCTTTCAAAGTTAAAACAACAACAAACTTCGAATATTGTCAATAGTAATACTGCACTGATGATTTATCACGCATATCAGTTATAAAAAAAAAAATAGCTGATTCTGCTAGTGGGTGTTCTACTGTTGTACGTGGGAAGTTGGGAAGATAGGATACACATAAAATTATTTAATTTATACCTGTTAAAAACTATAAAACATTACTAACGAAATACAATTTTGAACAAAATACAGTTACCGTAATATTTACGATTTTCGACAACATTTGATTTTTAAACGATTATAAACAATTACTAAAGCATTACGTTCAACTCTAATGTGTAGTATATGTTGTAATCAATATATGTATATTTTATGCTTTTAAACTTTTTAACCACTAAGAACTACTTATAATTAATAACGAATCTCGAAATAAATGTTCAAATATTTGTGTTCATATCATCATAATCAAACGATTTTATCCTCAGAATACCTACAAGATAAAATTACTTGAAAAAAACTCGTAATTATAAATTGTCTATAAATAGCTCAAAAATCGCCAAAACTACGTTTTTTTCCGTTTTTTATTTTCTCAATTATTATGAAAACTGCTTAGAAAATCATATAACATACTTACCCATTAATTTGTTCCAAAATGCAACAAAAAAGAACTTTTTTTTATTGGAGCGAGATTTCTTGTAGAAAAGTTGTTTACAGACACATAAAAAAAACCACATCTATTAAAAATTAATAGCTTCGTTATTATACTTAGAATCTAAAAAACTTGATTGAACTTTATTTTAATAAATAATAAACTAGAAATACACATATAAGTACAAAAAAACAACATTAAATAAACTTATGAGGTTATATAGAACTAATAAAACGCCGCGTGCCTCTACCAGTTCTTAACGCCACTTAATCCCTACCTAAACTTAAAAGTGGAATATCTCGTTAACGGGGTAACGAAAATCAAAAATGGTGGCACCAAAATTTAGTTAAAGTAATATTTCGTCGATTTACGGAATTTTTAACATGGGTTCTCTTTTGAAAAACCAAAGTCGGTATCGCCACAGGATAGTCCTTACATGTTATGTAAAATCAGAGTATTCGAAAATATTGGCTTTAACTACACTTAAAACTTAATTATCAACTTAAAAATCAAAATTTAAACATACACATAAATTAACCAAAAAAATTGGGTGAGCACGCTAAATAATTTGTTTAGACTATCTATGACTATCTAGACTATCTTACCTATCTTATGAAGAAGAATAGGATTATAAGAATAGGTTATAATAACATAATAATGTTATAAAAGTATAACTGTAAACCGAATTATACATTGCATTGGAAATCTATAGAGCCCAATGTACATGCGTTTTTTTTTTTAAATTCCTAAATAATCTGCACTTTACGAAAATATGAGCTTTAAAAACACTTTTAAAATCCCTAAAATTTGGCTCTAATTACGCCACTGATCTTGTAGTTAAAAACGAGTAAATATTTGAGAAAAAAATTTAGGCAGTAATAATAAAAAAATGTTTAGATTTTCTTTCAGAAAAAGTGCTATAATTGGAAATCTGAGTAAAATTACTGGTAGAAAAGTTGTTTACAGATTAAAATAAAAATAAAAATAATACTCATTGTAAAACCAATACATTCCTCGCTCTACTCAGAATCTAAAATGAGTAAATACTAAGTTAGTTTGGAGTCAAAGCCTTTGCGAGTTACTGGTACCATATAACAAAAATGAAGGTCACCCGGCACCCACAAATAAAGCTTAGCCAAAGGCAGTAAGCAACAAAATTTTAAAAATGTGTTAATGCTATTGAAAATTCGTTACATTTAGTCGTTTTTTTGATTTTCTTACCAAATTATTGTGAATGCAATAGATTTATTTAAAAACGTGAATAAACATTCGTATCAGCTGAAATTTTCACTAAATTAATATTCACAGAATGTATTACAACATACGGTGAAAATTGTATATACCTGTTGATTATAATTCTCGTATTAAACCTCTAGCTTGTATTTGGTATGAAACAAAAAAGATATCACAAGTACGTTCTGCATGTTTAAAAAACAAAAAACTGGGATATCCCAATAATTCAGTTTTAGTTAGGCAACTGTGCCAGTCAAATTAAAAAATCGGTGGTTTTTAACGTTTCTCATTTATATTGTTAATTCGTGCGTTTTATTTGTTAATTGCTAATTTAATCTAGTGAAGCCACAGCCAATGGAACCGGCTGGGATTGATTTCTCGGTCGATTCTCGGTGGTTTACCTAGAGGGCCCGAGAGGGACTGATTTACCCCCCGGTCTTTTTAGACGGTACAGGCCTTTTCGTGGCGCTAAATATTAGCAACGTCGCGGATTTTTTCGCGACGTGTAGCCAACTGTACAAATTCTCGTCGGGCGGCCCAGCGTCGGTATTTCCTCACCGAGGTTGTATCCGGCGAGAGATCGAGAGCGCAGCGTGGGACGTTCTCGGGCGATCCACTACCTTACGGAGATTGTGTTATTACGCGCGTGCCGGTAGACTCCTGACTCCTGTCTCCGGTGCGGACTGATCACGTGCTTCGTCGGTGGCTTCTGGGTGTCGAGACATGTCCAACTTTTGACATTTTCGAAAAGTAGTCCGGGTGGTCGGTGTATTGCGGTTGGATTCGGGCGCACTTACGAGTTCCGTTGGGTACTGGTTAAATAGCCAGGGGCTACCCACCCGACGATGGCTGAACGCGTAAACACCAAGCAGGTGGTTGGTGAATTGGGTAGCGGTTGCCGAGATCGCGCTTCGATGTATTGTCGTACATCCGGGGCTCGCCGTGAAACCCTCCGAGGCTCTTGAGTTGCTAACACCGTATCGCATAGCTAATACAAGGTCCCCGGTCGTAACCGTGCTCTGCACGGTGCTAAAGATCGGGTTCTCGCTGTCAATTCGTGTGTGAAATATCGATAAATACAATATTTTAATATACTACTTTGGACCAGGTCATGCATACATATACCTATATGTGAGCGCTGACGGTTATAATGACCGAGTAGAGAAGGCTGAGAAAAAACGAACAAAAAAAAAAAAAAAAAACACTCGATTTTAAAGTTTTTCAATACTTTGTTTAAATTGCAAACAATTGCAAAGTTAATCTGAAATTTATGGATCGTACTTATTTTTTTTAATTCGAAATATTATAAGACGAATATGCATAATTTAAAATTTTTTTATGCTCCCTAGAGTCACGAGTAATTGTGTTGAATTTTATTTATTTATTTATTTATTTATTTATTTATCGAATTGACTCTGCAGCAGGCGCAGATATAGCCGAGCACTTATCCTGACCGAGTATATTAAATTGAATAGCCGAGCTGCCGAGCCACCGTAAAAATGGTCATAACTGGCGAACGAATCGGCTCGCTTATCCACGCGTCACGTATCGCTAAAAGCTTTTAAACGACTTTTATACTTCGGTTAGTTAATCGATCGAACCAAAAACATTACTATACAGGTGTATAGTAAATTTGTTTTTGTACAAAAAATATATTTATTTTTATATTTTTATAATAATTCTGCGAAATAAATTGGAATTTTTTTTGTGTAAAACAAATGCATTAAGAATGTGCGTATACATTTTGTTCTCGTGCGCGCGCTATAAATTAGCAAACGAATGCAATTCAAGAACTGGCGCAGAAAATAAAATATTAGGTTGCCGTAACGTTTCATTAAAAGTCTAGAAATAAGTCGAAACGATAAAAACTTAATAGGTACCCACGCGAAGGTACAAGGTCGATCGATTTGTTCGGTGAAAAAATTTCATTTCCTTCAATTTTATAAAGTAATAATAATAATTACATAACGAGGTTAGATTTATATGGTGAATTCGTAACGCCCGATTTATTTTTATTTTTTTTTTTTAAATCAAATTAACTCCATAGTAATGAAAATAAAAGTCGTTCCAAATATTGATCTGTGGATGACGCATATTAATATTTTATTGTTATATTTTTCATAATTCACACGCCATAATAATATAATTATATTCATCCATTACGCCTATCACTATAACAGAGAAAACCGTTCTATGTAAATCGAAAGAAAACTCACCGCAAACTCAGTTCGTCCGGAACGTTACTTTCGAAAATAATATACTGTTTTGATGAATTCGTAAAACACATATAGTAGGTATATGCGCTATAAAAATTGTATTGTACATTTCGTTTGGATTAAGTGTGTATTAAGTGTGAACGAATAAACAATCATAAGAATAACGGCGTGGTTTAAATACTATTATTTCACCGTAGTTGCCATCGAAACCCACTGAATAAAAAAAAAAAAAAATACATGGATCTGAGTGCCGAGAAAAGATCCGGTCATTTTCTTAAGTGACAGAAAAAAAAATCATCTAAAAACAGATATGAATTTTATTCTCTACGTCTCCGATCTAAATGTTCAGTTATTATGACTTATAAACAACATTTAAAAAATCCAAAGTGTACATGTACTATTGTCTAATTAATGGTATACAATTAGCTAAAAAAAAAACATTTTAAAATAGTGCTAAAATAATGTTTTTAAAATATTCCGCGGCAGTAATTAATTTTAATTATTAAAAAAACAAATTAATTTAAAATCGACCAAGAAAACCGCTGAATTGACGTAAAACCATCCTCCTGTATAATATAAAGGTTTTAAAGAGAAAATGAAAATGATGAAAACACTTTGGCTTTGGCACACGGACGGAATCCTGAGAGAACACAGATTATATTATTATACAAGTGAAGTGCCCTTCGTCCACGCGGACGGTGTACAAAACGTGAAGTTAATTTATGTCTCACATAGAGAATAGTTAAGTATAGAATCCACACGGAACACGTGAACGTATATCTAAGAGCATTAACTTAATAATAAGGGTTACACAAACTTGTCGGAAAATAACACTCGGAATGCGTTAGATAAATAATCCATTCGATAATATCATACCCCTCCGATATCCGCTTCCAGGTAATAATAATATATTGAATCGCTTATTTTAGAAACCCACTAAATAGTGCTGAGAAAGATGACCATTATTTTTATCTGCATTATATAAAAAATAAAAATAATGAATAAAAAATCATCTAAGATTAAGATAACGTTGTCTAGGTGACACGGAAAAATAATATCGTATAACCGGATGGATTATACAGAGAAAGTTCATAAAAATATTATTTTAAGAAAATAGGTAATTCAGATTTAAAATATTATTAAACATTTAGTTTAGTTACAAAGAATAAATAAGTAAGTTAAATATGAAAAATCAATTTGCATAGTACAAAACATAACATGATTATAACGTTTATTTTTTTTTTTTGAATTGCCAAAGTTAAAAAAAAAAAAAACGTGGCAACAAAAAAATGTTCAACCAATTGGAGCTCCTTCGCAAAAATGTAAACTATTCCGAAACATCAAAGGTTCCCACCTTCACTCCTCCTTTTCTCTTTTAAATATAATTATTTTAAGTTGATAACCATTATTATTATTATTATTATTATTTTTTTTTTTGTTTTGGCGTTTCATTAAATCTAATTAAAACGAGTTTACATATAAAATTTGAAAGTGATTTTTTTGCATATTTCGATAATTTTTAAAATAAATGTTTTTTTACTAGTTTTCTGATTTTTTTTTGTATATTTTCTATTTTATAATTATTTAAACCATTAACAATGCTCAGATTTTTTTTCTCCCTATGATTTCTGGGTTCTTTCTAAACATTAGTTTAGAACACCTTTTATTCCTGATATGTGTCCGTCCGGCCGTACAGTTTATAATACATGGTTACGATTGTTGATTTTGTTGACGAGGTGATATGAAAAATGTATCCATGACATTATGATGAGTATGAAGTTCGTAGTATTATGATTATGTGAATTATTAATTTAAATATGCGGATTGAATATAAATAAAATTACTTTAAGAATTTTAAACATTTTCATTCGACTGTTTTTTCAGAAAAAAAAAAAAAATGTTATTTCTATAGGTTTCTATAAACATTTCTATGCCATAGGTTACCGAATTCCTTCAGAATCGTACGTATAATTAAAATGTAATGTGAAATTGATTCCGGTAAAATATTATATATATATACGCCCACTATAAGTACAATTTTAATGGAAGCCCCATTGTGTCAATCGCCGGTGACGCTTTCAGTCCGATTTATCTGTAATATTATTCAATTTGCATTCTTAATATATCGCAACGCGCGTTATTATCATCTCGGATGTATTATTTTCAGACGCGTGTACCGTCGTATTGTTAAAAATACAAATGGAATCGTAAAATAATATTTAAACGGTGGGAAAAAATCACAATAACATTATATAGTTATAGGGATTATGTTATTAAAATCGAACTCGAACAAAGCAACTGCGATCATATTTAAAATAAACTGTATCACCGTGATTTCAATATTATACTATTAATCCGGATTTCAATAAAAAAAAAAAAAAAAAAAAAAAAAGACGTCCTAGGATAATGAGGACGGGTGCAGCCACTGTTATAGATACTTTAATGTATACCTGTAAGCGACAATAAAACATTGCTTACGAAAAAAAAGTTTCCGAGTGGAGTTTAATTGATAAATATACTTTGTTAACAAATATATATGTCATATCATAGTAAAATAATTAAATAGGTTTTGTATATTTTCTTTAATAATATTTGTTCAATGTTACGATTTTCACAGTTTTCTTACGTTTTCCCGGTTTTTCCGTATTTTATCCCGGTTTTTCAAATTTGCTGCGAAAACTTTTGAGAAAATTGATAAATAACTTCTCTAAAGTATCTCTCCAGTGAAATTTCTTTTCAGAAACATTGTTGTCATTAATATTTGAAGCAAGGCTGCTTGTAAAAAAGTTGTCCACAGAAAAAATAATCGTAGGATTATACTTCGTTCATTTTCCCGTTTTCTTTCAGTTTTTCGTAGGTTGGAAGCTGGGAAGGTAGGATACACTATTGCTGACGAAAAACGATTCAGAGCGAAGTTCGATAAAACATATTTTGAAATGCCGTAAAAATTACGATTTTCATCAAAATTTAATCTTAAAACGCTTATGAAAAAAATAATGCATTAATTTCGAATTTGTTTTCTAGACTACTAAGTACACATTTAGCACTTTGACACAAGATCTTTGTTGTGTATATTAGTACCTTTTGTTAAACTTCAAAGCATTTCTCTTAAGAGGACGCTACACCCGCATCGGCAGCATCAACTATATCTTACCAACTACTAGGCGACATGCAATAATACTGCTTACGCAGAAATAGTAGAACTAGTTTAATTTTGATTTTAGAGTAAAAGTACTTAATATGAAATTTAGATGGAACAATATTTTTGAAGGATTTCAATAGGTGTTCTTTGAATTATGAACTGTTTAAAAAGTTATATTTACTTAAGAAACTAAAGTAAAGATTTTTACCTATACCTTTTATATCGAGCTGTAGCAAAGATAAACCATTGCTAACTAAAAAACGATCCTGATCGGAGTTCAGTCGATAGTGTTGCTTTGTCAACAATATATATAATATAATATTATGTAATATTAAGGTAAAATGATTACAACAATGTGCGTTTCCGTGAAAACAATGATTATTCAAAAAAAGATTGAAATAATAAAAACTTAATAATAGAAAAAAATAAATAAAAACGGTTGCCAATGACAACCGTGTTTGTAATCTTTTAATCTTTTTTTACCTCAGAGAGAACCAGGTTTTCCTCAGTGTCTCGAATATTAATGAGAATTTCGAAAAATGACCTCAAGTGGTACCACGTAGAGAACATTATTTTCATAAAAACTGCTAAACTTGATAATGGGAGAAATCGGAATTTCTGGAAAAAAATTTATCGTTTATTGGTTATCGTTAATTTTTATACCTAATTATTAAAGTGAATACTTAATTGGCGACAGCTGACTACCGAGTATTGAACCCTTACTCTCGCCTATTACAGTATCTATTCCAAACGCCTCGTGGTTTGCGTAGGTGCAATCACGTTGGCCGCTACGCCAAAACTTCGCGACAGCCTCGTAAATATATTTTATTTCAGCCAGTGCTATATAGCCAGGGGTAGGCACTGGGGGCACGTGCTCCCTTTCCGAAACCTTTTTTTCTTCGCAATGCTGCAATGCAGTTTACATAAATTCGTTATAATAATAAAAATTAGTATATAGTGGTATTATTTATGTATTACAAAATATATTTTAGATTCTGAATGTAATGTATTAGTTTTACGATGATGTTTTTTTTTTATTATTATTTATGTGAACATTTTTTTTTTATCATACATTTTTCTGTCTACACTGATTATTCAGTATAGCACCTTTTCTGAAAGGAATGTTCTGCGGGTGGTACTTTAGTGAAGTAATTTTTTAACATCCTCATTAATATTCGAGATAATAAGGAAAACCTGATTCTTTAGGTCAAAAAAGATCAAAAGATTAAAAATAAGGTTGTTATTGGCAACCGTTTTTATTTATTTATTATTATTTTAAATTTGTTTTAAACAACTGTTGTTTTCATGGAAATGCACATCACTGTAATCATTTCATCACAATATAATCTATATATATTGTTGACAAAGCAACGCCATCAACTGAACTCCGTTTAGAATCGGTTTTTCGTTAGCAATGGATTAGCATTGCTTACAGATGTACATTAAAGTTCCGTCTCTACACTACCTTCTCAACTTCCCGCCTAAAAAAATGGCTACACTCACGTGCGAAATATGTCCGTTCTTTCTTTTTTTTTTATATTACTATGTATAATATGTGAATTACTAATTACATAAAGGGGACATGTTCGATTTCGAATTATTAGCGGATTTGTATTCATCTACCTTGAGTACATATTATTTTGTGTAAAAACGGGATTAGCCTAATAAACCGTTATTGAAATATCAACAGCTAAATATCTTAATAAATTACTGAAAATACGGGGTTTTTGAATAGAGCCATTCTATTGGTTTTTGTTCAGATCTTATCATGGCTAGCCAATAATGAGTTTTCATCTCTCTGAATTTGCGTTTTCAAAAATATTATTCAGTATTTTTGATTTTAAAATATTCGTGAATAATTAAAAAAAAAAAAAAAAAATAAATATTTCCCCAATCAATCCATCCCGAGGTTCAGCTGTGAACCGAAAAGATTCCCATAATGTAATGACGATTCCCTCCACCCCCCCCTCCCGAAAATTTTCTCTGGCTACGGTACTGATTTTAGCATAAATTATTATTATTATTCTCTTATGATCCTCTGTATCAGCGGACACCGTGTAAACAACGCACGCGCACTAATAAACGTATCAAATAAAATACCCGGAATGGACGACAACGATGAGTTTAATAATTTCATCTTCCCGCCCAACCTATTTATGTGTCGTTTGTTTAAACGCCGGTCCGAATTAGATACGTCGTCGTACACCGTTTCCGGCGTCGAATAATTGATAATTATGTACGAAACACCCTATTTAAATGCCCGTGTAACGACGTCTGTTTTCAACAATCGTAGTGGTCAGGTAGGTTAGGTGTTAGGTTAGGATAGGCAGTGTCCCGGGTTCGATACCTAGCTTAGCCGCCGCGGCCGTTGCCGCCCACTGGTTCTGTAAGGATTATTCGGCCGCCCGAATTGCAAAAGTTTTTACGTTTTATTTTTTTTTTTTTTATTTTTATTTTATTAGTTATCTTCCATGCGAAATAATTGTATTATTTTAAAATACGGCTAATAATTTACTAAATTATAATATATACGTATATGTATTTTTGTATTTTATCGATCGATATTTTCAATACGATATGAAAAATAATATTCCTAACACAATATCACCGAAAATATTTCCTAAATATTATAAATGTACGTTGTAATTATACGATCGTGTCTGCCGAAACGCACGCAACATAAATTCAAAACGTTTCTGTAACATAAATTGCATTAATTTTGTATAACATTTGATTACATTTCAATTATTTTTAAATATTTCTGAAAATGTTGTTTTAACATGAATATCATACAATTTCATCGTAGCCGCTTCCATCTGTCCCTATCCTGAGCCCTGAAATAATGACTCTCCGCCTAGTATTCCAATTTTCATTTGATTCTCCCGGACTTTATTTAACCCCCTTTGTATTGAACTATCCAGTAATTTTCGCTATTTGATTTCCATTGTAAAACCTGTTCCATTATTACATCAGATCTCCATATGCGGTAAACAGCCCGTGTAATTATTTTACATCTGAGTACAACTTCTATATCTCGTTCCAAAATTGTTGTAAATATTTTATATTAAAATTTTACTGTTTTTTTTTTCTTTTTTTTTTTTTTATCTTTTTCGTCGATTTTTGATCGTTTTAGGAGGACGAATTAACGATGGTTAACGGTGCGATGCTTGGCGCGCCCAACCTCAGAAATCCTGGACCCAACGGGACCATGGCCAATGGCAGTAGAACGTTTCAGTGTCATCCGCAGGGACATTCTGAGGCGACTATCACGCTGACGTTAGTCGGTTTGGGCATAGTTGCCAACACGGTGCTCATGGGTCTGATCGTGTTCAACAAACACCTGAGAAGGTAATGCAATACGGTTATTCAATTATTATTATTCATATCATCGGGTAGTAATAAAATTGATTTTTAATGTGGATTGTAGCAATAAGTTATATAAAATTAGTTTTATTAAGATGTGGTTTTTCGCTCCCGTCACTCTGAAAACGATATTTTGGTCGAATTAAAAATTCTTCAATCTGTGTCCTAAAAGACTGCTTCTAACTCTAATTGTCACCTTTCATCACTCAATATTCCCGTATCATTGCTTCCCTTCAATTCACCCGATCTCATCAAACATTAAACTACTGGTTACATCTTCTAAAATATGTATTTTTTTTTATAAAATAGGGTTAACTATAATACTTGGCAGAAATTCTAATAAATTAGGGCTAGGGAAAACCATTAACATAAGTTAAATTTTTCCTTACAAATTATAAACGGTCTATCTCTGTGGCGTTAGATCTGATCCATTTATCCCTCAGATTTTCTTCAAAGTATTCCAAACCTAATCTGTTTCTATTTTTTTTCTTATTTGCAAGTGTTCTAAACATAGTCTACATCTTCTAACTTTTGCTGATGGTTTAAACATACAAACTCCATTGATTGCAGTAACAAAATGTAATGACTATTTCGTCAGGAATCTAAAATATTACCAGAATACTTCTATTAGTCTTCTCTAGACCTGGTAACATCTTCAGTTCATTTATTGGTGCATACAGATATAAATTAAATAACTCTATATATCTTACTTACCGAAATTCCCACTTATAAGAGTGTTTTACTCATCAACAGTATAAGTTTTTTTTTTTTTATGTGATCATCGAAATACTAAGTTTTTTTTTTTGTTTCAAACACACTACGAAAAATTACACTCGTTTTTTACGGCCGCCAATCTCTAAAAAAATATCGTCGATGAACAACTGATGTACAGCGCAGTCTGTTGTGTAGCTCGTGGAAGAACATAATAGCGTTTTACGGTTCAATTCCAACTCGTAGGTACGATTTACGAGTTTTTCTGATTTATTTCCGTTCTGCGAATTCAAAATGAAAATTTTTTAGCACAAAAAATAATATAAAACGCGTATAAATTTATTAACGTTTAAAACGATGAAATTTTATATTTCTCATTCTGAACGGTGGTGGCAGCATCAATATTAGTTAGTATTATATAATATCGCGTGGCTTGTGTTGTCGTAATTCTCTTTGTTTTTTTAAACGTGAAAACCATCTGCTAAATTAAAAATAATAAAACACAATTTTGTAGTCGAAATAATAAAAAGGACAAACAACTTTTATTGTAAATACATTGATGATCTTCAGCCACGAATTATGTGTATACATACGTTTTAAATTTAAATTCTTTTGAGCTATATACTCTTTAAATAATAAATTATAATATCAAAAAAAAAAAAAAAACATTTTAAATTATTGAAATACGCGAAGGAAAAACAATCCATATTTTCATTTCATATTTCGTTAAACAGATGTATTTAATAACATTTTAAAAACATTTTTTTTTTTAGATTTTGTATGAAGTGAGGAATGTATTGATTTTACTACGATACGTTATTTTTATTTTGTGTGTCTGTATTATAAACTGTCTACCAGATTGATCACCAGTTTCGAGAGTGGTGGTTTTTAGTACGAAATTGTGTCTAGTTGGTGTACATTGAGGGAGGAGGTCATTTGTTGATTGTCCTTATAGTTTTCTAAATAATGGACAATAGTTCACTAGAATAAAAAAAAAAAAACCTTTTAATAACGGGAGTGTTTACACAATAATGGTTTCTGTTCCTTTCGATTTTGTTTACTTTTAACCTTTTATTATTCAGTTAAAAATAATCGCAGAGGCCTGAAACAACCGAAATTTCCAAAAAATTCTTGCGTTTTTGAAGTATTTACAATAACTGTTTGAAATATTTTAGTTTTTATTTGATTATACGGGAACTAAATTGTTTTGGCAATGCAAAAATGCTCAAAAATTTGACAGGAGATTCATCATAAGTTATACACATTGATAAAAAAAAAAAAAAAAATAATCGTAATGTTGTTATTTTTCTTATAAGCGTTTAATGTTAATCGTAAAAATCACTGAACTTCGCGTACTAGCTATTTTTTGATTTATATGGACTTTTTGAATAGGAATAATTTGAGACAAGAAACACAAGCAATCATAAATATATCGAATAATTATAATTATAGTGATCAATTTGTCTCAGCGCACCCCAATAATAAATGTTTGTGGGAACTATAACATTTTTTCTCTCCCATGGACAAGAGGTAAAAAAGATTATCATTTATGTACTCATTTTTTCTCTTCAGCTACAGGTTGCACTATTATCAAGGGTTTTTCAATTTTAAATCTAATTCAATCTAACAATAATCTATTTTCTAGATTTAGTATTTCCGATATAAATTACTGTTCAACCGAATTTTATTTGACCTTTTAATACCTATCGATGTGCACTGCCCCCTACTTTTCAAATTTCAGTTAATTAACGGAAATATACAAACATTATCTCGATTAATCAATCATTCTACAACTATCTTAAAGCTGATTATGTTGAAATCAACTAATTGTTCAATTCTTTTAACTGCGGAAAAAACGTTAAGTAATATGAATATTATAACGTCTGCCACTATTTTTCAAGACGCTCTATTTACAGCCCTAATCAATTTTTTCCCCACATATTCACTTAACTCTAAATCCAAATTCCTTAGCTGTAGCTGTTCACCAAAAAGTTAAAATCACTTGTATGAAAAAAATTAAAAGCATGCCAATGTTACATTACGAATAATACTATTCTCAAATACACATATTTCTCTTATTATCGACTACAACTTAAACAAAAAATCAGAATTAGCATTTAGGGATTTTAATAATTAGTCTAAAAGTAGTTTTATTTCTAACCCAAAACATCTGAGAAGAAATGAGGGTGGTACTTTGGGAAGGTCATTTTAATTTTCCCGGAAGTTTATATAATAAATGTGGAAAATCGGGAAAACGGGAAAATGCATGAAATATATCATTTTCAATATATTTCAATATTACGGTCTTTCAAAACATGTGTAATACGTGTTAGATATAGTGCAATTTCCCCTCTATCTTCCCAACTTTTCACCTACAAAAGTAGCCCACCCATCGTACGAAGTATGTCCCTATATTTTTTAACTTACTTTCCATCTGTATACATGTATACTCCTTTTAGTCACGTTCATCCAATATACATACTCACAATGAATCAACTTCTGAATTTTCTTCACCAGTCAATTGATATATTCCACTTAATGATAAATCGGTTAGTCTACACCAGTGTTTCCCAACAAGGGGGAGGGGCGTGCTCACATTTCTGGGGAGGTGCAAGAAGTAAAATTTGTATTTATTAAATAATTTGTATTTTACAATAAAGGGAAAAAATAAAAGTCTAATAATGACCGGGGACTGGGTGTTGATGATAAAGATTACAAGAGACCGAACTAAGTAGAAGTGATATGGGGCAGTTGAAAATGTTGATAAGTTTGCTTATACACCTTGATGGTCTTTTTTTTTTGATTATCATGTTTGTTAAAAAGAGAAGGGGGCGAGAATTTTTTAAAAAGCTACAAAGGGGAGCGTAAAATAACAGAAGTTAGGAACCACTGGTCTATACTCATTAGTAAAACCAAAGTATTCTGGACCTGATAGAATTTTCTGTTTCTTTTTTATTAATGACTGACACTGATACAATCTTTTATAGTATACCCAATTTTTCTATTGTACTCAAAATATTTTTCTCAAGGTGTCTTTCCATCAATTTGTAAACATGGTCCCATTAAGCAGATTTTTAAGAAAGGCAATAAAAATAATACATATTAAAAACTTACGGCCTATGTCCAATTAGGTACAGCTTAGACAATTGTTAAAAAAATTAATTTGAAAGTGTGTTATGTCATCAATAAATAATGGTATAAAATAATGCACTTGACCATAGGCAACACTGTTTTAGGCCCGGTAAATTAACTATAACATGCTACGTCTCCTTCACAGAATTATATTCGTGAGGTTTGATGTGGCGTACACAGACTTCGAAAAGGGTTTTGATCGTGTTGACCATAACTTTCTAATTAATGCAACACGGCGTTTGGGTATTAGCCATCCCCTTTATCTTGGTCTACTCCTATTTAACTAACCGTAAATAGTTCATTAACATACAGGGTTACAAATCTTCGATATATTTAGTCCCATCAGGCACACTTCAAGGTGGACACTTATCCCAATGATTATTATTAATATTTATTAATGTTTCGATAATTTCAGTTCTTAAACATTATCAATTTTTACTATTTACCGACACTTTTTACTCCCCTATAGTTGGGTATCACTTCATTTGAAATCTATCACCTCCGAAATTCAGTGTTTAGATATTTTTGGTATGAAAATTATAAAAATAATGTCATAAAAATATACTATTAGTCCGCCTAAGGTGGAACTACCCGCTTTTCACCAATTCGTTTTCATTCAATACCGACACGGTCAAAACTAAAAAGCAATATTGGTGAAAAAAAAAATAGTCAAAAATCAACACGGGCAACCTTACCTTACACAAGTTTATTATGTGACACACTTATAGGTTTTATATACTTATATTATACAAATCTAAACACTATTCTTCTGATGAGGGTTCATAAAAAAAAATGTTTGTGGCCATGTACATGGATATCCTACGTTCCCGGATTACCATTTAAAAGATTTACTCGTGCCGGTGGAAAGTTTGTGGGTTTCTGTACAGTATGTTTTATTGAACGGGTATAATTTCGATTTTCCGTATTACGATTATAAGGGAACGTCCATCAAAAGTTCATGCGTATAGAAAATATTAAAACAGTATCGGTAAATATACTGTGTGAAAAAAATCCATGTACTTCATGTTCCTACGGGATTTGAGAATCAATTCCCTAGAGCTGAACCTGCCTACCCGCCTATAAGTATAATATACGTGTAAGTATAGTACACATAACACACTATATAATGACCCCAAGACCGAAGACCAGTACTGCGGCGGCAGCGGTATTATTTTGTCTCCCGAGAAAACGGAATAAACAGAAAATCCATTATTTAACGGGTCTAAATCAAAACGGAAGTAGCAGGTATGAACATTTTTGTTTCTCTTGTATGAACACTGCAGCATGTTGGATACTTTGCTATTCGAGTATACCGATAAGTACAAACAAAAAATATCCTCTATGGTGCATCAACTGGATCCAAAATGAAAGAAAAAAGCTTTCTTATCGTTTTTTGATTATACCATGATTTCTGTTGGACAAATTGTTTACAGACAGAAAAAAAGTCGTCCTGAAATAATAAGTACGGATGCAGCCACTGTTTTAGGTAATTTAGTGTACACCCGTAAGCAACGATAAACCATTGCTTACGAAAATACGATTCTGAGTGGGGTTCAGTTGATAGTGTCAATGTGATGCTTTGTCAATAATATATATGCCATATTATAGTAAAATAATTAAATAGGCTCTATATGATTTCTTTAATAATATTTGTTTAATGTTGTGCCGATTTCCCCGGTTTTCCTACGTTTTTCTCGGGTTTTCCATGTTTTTTTCCAGTTTTTCACATTCGCTGAGAAAACTCCGGTGAAAATCAAAACCGACCTCTTTAAAATACCTTCCCAGTGAAATTTCCTTTTAGAAAAATTCCTATCATTAAAAGTTTGAGCAAAATTGCTGGTAGAAAAGTTGTATACAAATAAAAAAAAAATCATAATATTATACAAATATACTTTGTACATTTTCCCGCTTTTATTTTCGATTTTTCGCATGTGTTGAGAAAATCTATAAAATAACCTCTTGAAGAAAAAAATTCCAAAAATGACTAAATCATAAAAAAAAAAAAAACAAACATCTTTGTAAAACCATAAGCTTCATCGTTCCACTCAGAATCTAAAACAATTTTAATTTTGTTTTAAACAAAATCCACACGATAGTTAAACAAATAAATTTATCGCTCCGCTCAGAATCTAAAATAACAGCGTACAACACGAAAACGTGTAATCGGACCGTATGTCGTGTACTCCGTCGACATAAATCCGTATAAGTCCACAAATATCATATCTGTAATAATGTTCAAAATTCAATTATTCAAATTTCAAGAATAACATATTTTCTAAAATAATATATTATCTTATTTGTGAGTAAGAAAGTCGTTGTTTGATTTTCCGTATAGTTTTCCTAATAATTACAGAAAACCGGAGAAAAACATAGAAAATAAAGAAAAGTATACGGCTTTTGCGTTTTTTGTTATTATTCGGTTAAAAATTATTGTGGAGAACTGTAGTTTTCATAAAACACCTATATTCGTCTTTTGTAGGTGTGTTCAAAATTTTCAAAACATTCTAACTATTCTAGATATTTGATATGTTCGTGTTTTTTTATGTATTTATATTTGTTCTTAAAATTATATGGCTTAAGAAAAATGCTTGAAAATTTAACACAGGAAAAAAAAAATTTGAATTCGGTGAATTAATTTTATTTTTACATAAGCGTTTTAAGTTCAATATTTTAACGAAAATGGTAAAAATTACGGCATTTCGAAATTTATCTTACCGAACTTTGTTCCAAATCATTTTCCATTAACAATGGTAATCTACCTTCTCAACTTCTAACCTACAACAATTGTTGCTTCCGTCTACAGTATCAGCTCTAATTTTTATTCTAGGTTTTTTAGGAGAGTGTTTAATATCGTGTTTGTTTATTTATTCATGCATTAATTCAAACTTCTGATAATAATTTTTATCCTTAATTGGCGTTTCTTTCCTCCCGTGTCATCAATTCCCTCCCATTCACACGATCTCACCTAATGCGATATTGTTGTCTATTGTCTTATAAAGTTATTCCACGTTTATAAAGGTGCATCGGTGAGGTCATTGTTTTATGTTAGTGCGCATCGCACTCACATTTTATTTTGATTAAGGCATTTATTGTGTTTACAGTGTTGCATAATATGCAGGCGCGTATTGTTTTATTATATGGTCTGTGTTAATTTTGTTTCTGTCGCGTGTGACTATCATATTATTATAGTCGAACCTATTAGAATATAAATTTACTGTGGATTAGCGTTCAACGGGCACGCGAATCAAGTATTCGCCGTACTCGTATTGGTAAGGATCTCGTATCACCCGAATAATCGCAAACCACGTTCGATTCACCTATTTGTTACATTACGAGGACACAAATAACCGCGTAACCATTTATTGGTTTGTGCCCGTCCGGTTTATCGCAATACGACCCGAATAGTCGATGAAACAATGGCGACGAAACATCGTTCAGTCAATATTCCGCATAGCTCAAATAATCGTGTTGGTGTATTTTGTCTATGTTTGGCGCTCAGACACTGATTTTTACAACTGTAAGTGAGCAGCTGCTGGCCAGTTCGTCATTCTGCGTAGGCACGCAAGGAGCTATTTGTAATTAGTCTATTTCCTCCTATCGTTACATCATATTTATAACCTGTTTAGCGTACTAATATTATTGACGTGCGTATATTTATATTATTTTCAATGTCCAAAATACGTATGTTTATTGTTTTGTCGTCGATCTGTATAATCTACGATTTTTTTTTCTAAACTCGGAGCGTATCAAGGGATCTTTCGGTTTAATTATGTTTCTTTTATTTTTTTTTTTCTGTCTATGAATTCACTGTTCGAAAAGAAAACGTGCTCCGATGTATCAAATATTTCTTTTCTGAAAGACAATTTTATCTAGTACGTATATATTCAAAAGGTAATTTTTTGATTTTTTAATTAGTTTTCATAATCATTGGAAAATAACGGGAAAGAATATAAAATTAAAACTGACGAATTTACGCGGTGACGTTACGATTCCATTATTTACAATTTGTACGCTATATATGTTTTCTACCAGAAATATTGCTGCAATTGAAATATGACGAGAGATCAATTTTGTTGCTTTTAATATACAGCCATTGATATAGAAAGTCATTTTTTAATTTCTTACACATTTTTCATAATAATTGAGAAATAATAAAAATACGAAAAAAACGGTTTTTTTTTTCCAATTGCGGTGCAACGATTTCATAATTTAAAATGTATATGGGTTTGTTTTCTACAAAAATATTGCTTCAATACAAAAATAAACAAGGGTCCTATTTTTTTCAAGTTTTAATCTTATTAGTGAGTAAAAAAGTCATATGTTGATTTTTTATGTAGTTATTTTAATCAATGAGAAAATCCAGAAATATATTAGTAAAACTAAAAATTAACGCAATAGCGATATTATCACAATCGTAGGGGCGTTTAACGCTCACCGAATACTTATTTTATGCGTGGTTAAATTTTCAAAATATTCTAGCCATTTAAAGCTTTTATAGGCATTTTACATTTTTTAGTTTTTCTTTGATTTTTTATGGACAAAATTTTGGCTGAACAAAATTAACTGCAAATTAACACGGATCCATTATAAGTTCTATTTAGTAGTCAATTTTAGTTATTTTTTTATATGGATCTTAAGTTCAAATTTTGGTGAAAATCATGAAATTCACAGACGTTTTCCAACATGTAGGTATAACCTTTGTACTTTTTTCTTTGTTTTTAAATGTGTTAGCACTGATTTATCATTGTATACCGATCTGAATTAAATAATTCTATGTTTCTTATATTTAAAACTTTTTTTTTTTATAACTATGACGTGTATGTACTTGGATATACCGTACTCGTATAATATTTTAAGTTGGTACTATTGGCGTTTAGTCTCTTTAAATACCGTTTATTGTGTTTTAGAGCTAACACATTACAAAGTGATGTTTAATGCAGTTTTTAATAATATTTATTTATTCTACCGATATTGTTGGGTAGGCTTACCCCGGTTTCGAAAACATAAGCTGAATAATAAATTTACTTGAAAGAAAGACGCAAAGTTGTCACCTTAGTTTTGAATCCGAAAATCCAAAACGATTTTCAAACTTATCTTGATTGATGTCGCTGTAAACGACCACTCAACAATGAGTTTATTGGAGCCAACCAGGTATTACTCCGTTATTGCTACATAAATCCGTTTAGTACGTATACATTTCACGGTATTTTCACTATCGTACTATTGTAGTGGAATAAAAATATTAAATTAAGAGGTGGGGAATGGGGAAGAGCAATATAACAGATTAATAATAGTAAGGTATTAGGGCGGAGAGAACGTATTATAAAAGTGAGTGTGATCGGGATAGGGAGAATTTGAGAAGCATAACGAAGATGAAAGGGAGAGAGTCAAGGAAAGTTAAGACGGTTCACAGGATAATTTTGGTGTAGATATAAATATTATTTTATCGTGTGTAAATTCATTACCTTTTACACAGCGGTAAGAATGAAATAGTGTTCTGAATAGAATGGTGAGCGGTGAGGGAGCGCGCGTGCGACGGTCAAAGATTCCACAACCGCGCGGTGGTGTCCAACTAAATATGCCGTTATGACGCGACGCTACGTACTGCATATATATATTTATATATATTATTTTTCCACGGTGTGCAATGAAATACAGTCGCGCATTATCGATCGTTATTGTGTATGGTCCAAAAACCGTCCTATTCAGTGTGGGCGTGTGTTTAAACAAACGTATGAATGAGCGTTTCCTGACCTACGGAGAATCTAAATACTGTTCTACTACGGGAGTAAAGTAACTTTCACTTACATCGTTGATCTGCAAAACAGCTTGAAGTTCGCCTGTTGGTCCTTGACCGTAGTGCGGTAGGCAAGATAAAAATTACCTGTATATGGATTGCTGTTCGGGTGTGCGAGATTGAATGTGGATAGGTATGGGTATCGATAAATCGTCGCGATATGTACACTAATGCAAATTAACCAAAGTAAACGTGAGTGCTCAGTATACGGTACAAAGAACGCGTGGATTGTTTTTTTTTTCGTTGACCACTTTTCCAGGCGTATAGACAAACTATTATAATCAAAGGCAAATTGGTCGAAAATTAAAGCATAAAGCGTCTGTTAGCGTTCCAATAATGCACTGATATGACCACAAGTTCGTGTCTTTTCGGAAGAAAACTATAAAAATGAGCACGTCTAAATATGTAGCAAAACAGAGTACACACGCAACAGATAGGTATGTAGGAGTTATGGATTATCAGATACAATGGTCCTCCTTAGGTTCTGCAGCCACTACACAGATATGGATAGGCATACCAAATATAGCAGTCCGCCTTAGGTTCTGCAACAACTATATTTGGGGGCTAGAGTTTGAAAGGGTTGTATAGGTAAGGGAAGAAGGATGAGAGAGAAGACGAGAAGTAGTATGAGGAATGGGATGAACAAAAATGATACGTACGGCGTCTTATATAGGCCTTCTGGATCCCCCATTCTATTACAAAAATTAAATTAAACTATATCTCCAGAATTTCTGTGTCGCATTGAAAGACTAACCCGTTAATTGCACTCTCGTAGAAAAATTCAACTTTACTGCGTCCTTTTTTTTTTATTAAAAACGAGTGCATGAGCGCATTTACATCGGTATGTTCAACAGCGTTTATTTCGTTAGGGAGTGTTTAGGTTTAAAACGTTCAAAACCATAATATCATTACCCTCCCGTCCTTACTGAACTTTTAAAAGGCGCAGCAGGTGACCGCCTCGTTCTGTAGTAATAGCGAACCGAAAAAAATATATCGTTCCGGTAATTGACATTTTTAACGACCTCGTTCGTCGCGTTCAAATTCTCCAGGTCCGCCCAAAACTCGATTTATTTACACAATATAGACTTCTAATTTGTCCTATATAATATTGTCGACGTTTTCGCGCTTTATCAAGTAGAATCGAATCTGTGACCGGTACCTATTACATGTTTTGCGATTAGGAACTTTTTATAAGAGCGTTCGGATATTCCGTGTGCGGTTAGATATTTTCGATTTTGAGGATTTACAAATCAACAAGGAAGGCTACTGGGTAAGAATGCAGAGCATGGCTGTCAAAATCGAAAAATTCGTGCCAAAAATATTGATGTGTTCACACGCTTTCACGCGATATTATAAGGTGCGTGTGTTTAAAGTCGTCCCGATATCTCTTAAGACAAGATTTAGGTCTGAATATTTGCAAAAGTATAGACAAAATAATGTCTCCAAAAGTATAAGCCTTATTCTTATACGTTTTTAAGTCTATTTAGGGCACTCGATGCTACAACTATTTACCACCGTCTTTCCGTATTTTTACTCGTTTCCAGCTCTGTTTCTTGCGCAACATTTTCAAAGTCTTCTTTCAGTGTGTACATCCATCTTTACCTGGGGTGGACTCCGGGTCTTCTGCCGCTGATTTTACCGATCATACTTGTTTGTAGATACCATTATCTTTGCACGCGTGTGTTATCCTCTCCTGCTCGCTTCTAATCAGATCGTTTGTTTGGTTTTTGAAACAGCCGATAGATTTCCTCGTTCGTCCTTGTTCGGTATTCTCTGTTTTCAATAAAATTTGACCGTAAATGCAACGATGTACCCAAATCTAAGCCTTTAATGTTTGAATGTTTATATATACTGTACAGATACATATTATATTATATTATATTCCAATATATGTATCCACGCTAGGTGCCGAATAAACCCGAATGACGATAATAACAATTGACGCAGCAGTTACTCGCGTATGATACGAGAATAGATAAACGCGGTACGCGGGGAAGTACTGCTAATGGACACTTTTTCGACAGCCGAGAAAATATAATACTTGTGACTTTTTCGACTCCGCGTATACCTACTATATAATAGTAATAGTCTGCTGCTGTAGCAGTTTTCTGTTGTGCGACAACGACGACGAGACCGTTATTCGGCACTTCTAGAGCTCCCCGTTTTATTCGCATGTCATAGGATATTATTATTATACATATACGAGACCGTGGTGCGGTGTCACCGACAAAAGCGTATCGAAATACACGGCCGCCGCCGGACACAATGAAACCGCGGCCCGGTGCTTAAAATTCGATTTATCATATTAGGTATTATTGTAGTCGGCAAACGCAGTCGTCATTTATCACTATTTCCGTTTGCCGCCCACACACACACGCGCTATATAATGATAATGATATTATGACTATTAGCTATACTATTATAGAGTCCGATGCATACGGATAGATTCCCGTATACATTTTATTCTTCTTCTCGGAGAAAATACGCGAGCACGTGCGGCTGTTAGGCTGCTAGGTCCTATTATGCAATTAGATGCACAGTAACGTCCTTACTGCTCTATAATCCTTATCACCGCTGAATAGCCAAGTTCAACGGCGTAAGTCGACGAATCCGGTACCATTCGAACCTTTTCTGTGTAAACCGTTTCGGATACCGCGGACTTCTATAAAATTTGTCCACGATAAAATTATGTTCCCCGTCCGTTTTCACCGCAGATATAATATAAAACGACAAATAGACATAGTCAGTTAAAAAATACGCACTTTCGGGGCAGAAAATAGTACTTGTAAACGAATAAATACTCTATAAATGGCATAAGTCATTTCAATTCTAATTTTAAATCTTATTGTACGATTTTCGCCACTGTAATTGTAGACTCGACCCTGTATGTATTTATATATTTATATATTCAAATATAAGCATTAACGTGCTAATTGCCGTTATTTTTTTTTACGTTTTAAACAATAATTTTTACTTTTCCCGTATTAATTGTTAATAATTTTATAATATATACATATGGATATGGAGACTTACCTGCATATATATATATATAAATATGTCTAACAAAATCACAAATGCATTTAGGTTACGTATAACAAACTGTTCAAGACAGTAGTTCGTACAGACTAAACATATGATATTTTCTCTAATTCCAATACATTTTTGAAAATTAAGTAAAATATTCATAGTTGAGAATAAATTGACATAATGATAATAATAATAATAATAGATACCCCTGGAATATAAATTGTTTTCTAACGTAATATTATCTTAGAAAAATAGTATATTACAAGTAAATACAGACGATAATAATGAATAATAGTAATAATAGCCACTAGTAAAATAATTTAACTACTATCTTTCCTTACTCCTCGGATCTAATTTTCAAATGGGTATAATTCATAAACGGGAAATCTGACATGAGTGTTGTGCGTATAAAAATGTTTAGACAAAATAATATATTCTCCATTCGAATATGTATTTAAAAAATGGGTTCCTATTTGAAAAACAAAAATACATACTCATTTAATGTGTACGGAATAGGGGTGATATATTAAAAATGCTTTCAATGTAAAGCTTAGATGGTTCCACAATGAATAATAAAAAAAAAAAAAACAGAAATAAATTCACTAAAAATCCTTCGAGAAAATGTTTGGTTCAGGTTAAAAAAAAAATCACCATATATAGGAAATTCTTAAATCTTGTAGATACACCATATGGCCTGTATAATGCATATTGCATAGGCTCGCTTTAGTGTAAATTATTCAGCTTTACACTGACCGGCCAATCCGTAACGGTGGAGTTTTTTTTTTTTATATATTCAAAATTCGTACACTTACATAAAGCAGATATTAAAAACTTGCACAGGACGAACGCGGCGTCCTAAAACGGGTCGATAGCGGACACGCGGCGCACATAATGCGAAAATCATTTTAATATCATTGCACGAAATGTTGTACCCGTAAAGTATTATAATTACCGTGGTAAACACTGGTGTTGTTGTTGGTGTTGTTCACTCGTTACAAAAAAAAGTTGTAAATATGCCGAAAAATCGAGCGAAGGCGTTAAAAAAAAAAAAAATCTATACGTTCGAAACAATAGTAAGTATCGCGTTTTAAAATTGCATAAAAGCGATTTCCTTTTGTTAAACTCATCGACCGGTCGCCGCGAATATATTTATAAATATTATTATCGGTTTTCCATCAATCATCGACGGTTCTTTTTTTTTTCGCTTTCAAAGATTAAAGTTTTGATTATGTCGGAGGACGCTGCAGCGGTTTTACGCCACCAACACCGCGCGTAATAATATTACTACAAGAGAGCGTAGTAGAATTGTTATTATTATTATCATGCGCTGTTAGTCTTTACGGGGGAAAAAAAATGAACCCTTTTCAATGCGTTTAATCTATATTTCCCCCTCCGGCGGTGTTTCGAGTACACTACAAATTATATCGACTACATTACGTTATTGTCTTAATTATACGAATCTGACGAAAAGCTTTTATGAATATTATACAGCTAACTGTATGGCTGTATAATAGGTATATTATATACTAGCCGTGGGGACATACTCGAATATTTCCATTAAGAAGCGATGGGGTCGAGACGTTTGTTTTGTACAGAGCTGAAGGGGATGGCTTTGTCTCTGCGGAACACACAATATGGTTTTTCTTGAGCCTTGACGCACGACGCACAGCCCGTGGTTGATTAATTCATCCTCTTGTAATGGATCTATCATAATTGACAGGCCAATGGAGAGAGAGAGAGAGAGTAAATGTAGTTAGGTTAGGTTAAATATAATTTAATTATGTATATAATATAATGTTATTAATGCCAGTGAGCAGCTCTGACAACCGGAACTATTTTGGATCAGTTGTGAAAATAAAAATATGTACTTGCATTGTATACTATGGCGGTAACGAGTTGACTAAAGTGAAAATTCAAATCTGTAATGATAGAGCTCTGCTGCCCGTGTGTGTATTTTTTTTTTTTTTTTTAACCGAAAACTAATGAAATGATTTCATTTTATTATTATTATTTGTATTTTAACGCAAAGTTTGCGTTTCTTTATTTAAGATTACGAGCGTAGCGAGGAGTGTATTTCTTTTACTAACAACGTGTACTTCTTTTTATTTGTCTGTAAATAACTTTTCTACCAGAAATCTTGCTCCAATCAAAATACAATTCGGATTTAGTTACGGTCATTTTTTGAATTTCTTTGTAGTCCTCCTAATAATTGGGAAAAAGCAAGAAAAATCGTTGGAAATAAGGTAATTTTAGAGTATATATGTATATAAAATATGACAATTAGAACGGCCGAGTACAGAACTGGCGATGGCAATGGCATGATGGTGTAGAGAGGGTAATTTGGCGGACGCTGCTCTTGCCGTCCAAAAAAAATTGCATTGAATAGAACGGTAGTGCACCTATTAACAGTGCACTATGAAGCGGCGTGACGTGAATCGGATCGAATCTTCATTCAATTTATTACCCGTAAAATTCACAAATAAACATAATATGTTTCGGTGTAGTTTGTTTTAAAGAATAGCTTAACTCAATCATAATCGTTTTTCGTTATCAATGGTTTATCTAAAGATATAAATTAAATAGTTCTATGTACACCCATCAGGGTATCTTTTGTTTAATTGCCTTTTTTTTTCCACTACTACTAAAAATAATTATTACTCGAGAGAAGGATTTTCGAACACAATTTGTTCCAAAAAAAAAAAAAAAGAAAAAGAATACCTACCTCGATTGTTCAAGTTAGTTGTATAAAATATACGTAATAAAATTATGTCTGTGTTTTTGAAGAAAAAAAACAATAAAAGGAAATGTTCGGGTCCCCGAAACAAAAGGTTAGCTTTTATATATATACAAAAGCATTTTGTTCGACGACAACTGTGAAATTGTTCACTTGTCTGAAATAATATAAGTAATAACCCCTGCAGGTTAGTTAGATTGCTTCAACGTCGGAGTGGTAGGTACCTTAAAATGTATTTTTTTGACGTTAACAATTGTGTAAACATAATGCAAAACCCTCCGGCCGACGTTTAAATTTGGGAGTTGGTAGTTGGGTAGGAAGTCGATTAGTACGTTTCATTTTACAGAATGATTTTTAAGGAATCTCCGTTGAATTCATTGCGTCCACTCGGGAAATAGTAACGGTTTCGAGACGACCGAGATCCTGTTGCAGAACGAATAACATACATAGAAGTGTTTCCGAACAATACTATTATTGAACATTAAATTGTGATTAAATTTTATATCGTCCTTGTATACAATTTTAGTCATATGCAAGGACGGGGGATGTTTAACGCACACTGGACATTTGTCCAGGGCTTCACGTTCTGTAAGGACTTGAGTCAATAACAGATCCTCAAACGGAACATTTATTTAGTGTTAACCACAGGCACGTTTTTAGCCACGGCGTAAACTATATAGTTAGTAATTATGGTCAGATTTTAAATCCGCATAACCTAACTGAGACTAAATTTTAAATGTAATTATTATTATTATTTTTATAAAGTGATGGGCATTTTTTTATTGTCGTCTTAATAGAAGAACTTTTTTAAGAGTATAAAAAGCTGTACTTTTTGTTTTTAGTACACATACCTATCGATATTGATCTATTGAATATATGAGAATTTTGAAAACTGATTTTTTTTATATTTTTCGTAAGTTCTACAACGTTCTATTTTGACTGTTTAGACCGACAGTAGTCTAAGATTTGAATGAACATTACTACATCACTCGTCAAATCTATTCGAAATCGACTTTCCCAAATTTTTGTTGTTTACTTCTTCACAAATTAAATTATAGATAATATAATATCGGATTAAACGTGGTAAGTAGAGAAATAGGTATCATTGTACATACATGTTTATAAGTATGCTTCTGCACTATCCATCAGTAAAAAAATGTTATTTCTTTTCGCCCACCGGATATAATATTAACGGCACTTTCGAGTTAAAACGAAATTAATTTATTTTCGAAAATTCCAAAAAACTAACGTAAAATCCATTATTATTGTAATAACATTAGATTCGGAGCACAGCAAAATTTTTAATTTACCAATTTTTTACTTAATTTGAAATGTAATTGGTATTCTGTGGAAAAAGCGTTAGACTTAACAGAAATACTTGGAAACTCAAAAGAAGGTTCGTTATAAATCTGTAAATAAGTCATGGTCGAAAAAGAATCGAGTGTAATGTGGTTTTTTTTTTCTTAAAGAAAAAGAAGAGAGTTTTATTAAAAAATGTTGACGAACATCGTAAATATTACTGCCTTTCAAAACATGTATAATCGAATATTCATAAAAACGGTTTATCTTTGCTTACAGACGCGAATTAAATAACTGTATGTATCCTACCTATCCAACAACAGCTTGCCTACAACAGTGGCACACCCATTTCCAAGATCAGGTCTTTTTTTTGTTCGACACTGGTTCTCTTGAGCCATGGAATTATTTTCATCTATATTATCATATCTGTGTACATTCAACTCGTTTGAAACAATTACGATCAGACCAGTCATAAGTGTATGTCACTCAAGTTCATTGGGACTCAGTTAGTTTACTGACTGTCAAAACCACTATAATCCGATAAAACTGTTTTATGACACTGTATGCATTGTGCGTGATATATTCTCCGACAATTTTAGTACAATATACAATCATTTCTATGCGTTCTGTATAATATGTATATTGGTACACACAATGATGAATTATGTTAAACTTCAGAGTGTAAAATAGTCAAGCGTCACAACAGTATTTGCTCGTAATACCTATAAATTGCTCACCTGTACCAATCACGTTCGGCAGATTTGATCGAAAATTAGGATTTTCATCGTACTCGTTATCGTATTTACATCTCGTTTTTTATTGTTAAATAAAATTACCGCTTTTATTCTGTTTACATTCTCGTACTTTTAAATTAATTTTTTTGTTTTGTCCGTAATTCCCGCGTCACAACGATGGAAATAATAATTTAGTAATCGATTTATTTTTAAAAATCGTGTGCAATATCAATGCCGTTCCCAAATAATGTCATAAATACAAACGGTAACTTCCGATTTTTGTTTCTTTATCGATGACAAAAATAAATTATAAAGTTATTTCGAATTTTTATTTGGAAACATCAACTACACTGGAAGATGAAGTATACATTACCATCAGTATATGTCACTCCGCGATCGTCGGCGGTTGTACTATACAAAATCTATTGCCCGAGAAAGCGATGTTTGCGATATTTTTCACCGCATATCATTAAGAATATCAGAAAATGTACCGTATTTATACTTTGTATAGATTTTTTTTTTTTTTTCAATTCCGTCATAACACAAACTACAAAAGAACGTCCGGGAAGACATTCGCCATAAAACGTCAATGATATAACCATTTAGTGTGTATATGGCGGCGATAAAAAAAAAAAAAAAAACCCCAAAAGGAATTACCGGCCCGTCACTATATGAAAACGGATAGGTTTCGACCCGCCACTTTTATACGAAGAGAGAAAAAAAAAACATTTATTAAACTCTATATTATAGTACTTCCCCGTCCTATGCCAACCTAAAAACCCGTCACCGTATTCTCTAAATATACGAACGGAGACGTTCACATATTCGACAGGGAAAAATTTTTTATCATCGTCGCCATTAGACATTACACTTTTTATTGCAATCCTTCGGTTTTGACGGTTTTAACGGTCTAGTGCTCTAATAGGTACGATCATCTAATAGCGTAGCCAGCAGGACGTAAGTGTTTTAAATGTTAAATATGTCCGCATTTTCGTCGAAAAATCGTGTGCACTGTATACTACGGCGAAACTTTGCCTGTTTTGGACATGTTTAAATTGAAAACGACCCCGACGAGTGGACAAAATGTCGGTTACGCAGATTGACGCCGGTGCACTGTGTATATAATATGCTTCACTAAGCCAAAGTCTATATATAAAAAAAAAAAAAAATTGTATTCAATTGTCGATTGTTACTGCAGGTGGTCGCAGGGTCTGCTGTTCCACCAGGCCATGGTGGACTGCGCGAGAGCCGCCATACTGATACCGTTGGCGCACAGTCTTCTGTACTGCGTGCCGGTGAAAAAGTGTAGCCTCGTGGAGACCGCGTTTCTGCTGTTGGTCACCGTGTCCACGATAAACATGCTGACCATTGTGCTGAACGATTCGCCGGTGTTCCCGGAGGACGACGAAGAAGACGGTTACCAGGTAGGTCGTCGGGTATCTTTACTGTAAACGAACGCGAGTGACAAACGTGCCATGTCCGCTGTTTAATCGCGGACAAAAAAAAGAAAAGACCTTGCACGTTCCTTAATTAAAAATGACACGACACCGACAGTTACCGCGTTTCCCCGGAATCAGGAAAGGTACCCGATAAACCCAACTTAACCGTACGCCGGGACAGCCATATAATGAACAAACGTTAAACAGGTGTCGTCGGTGCCGCTGCTGCTGGACTCGCCGCAGTGCGTGGTGTTCGGCACGTTCATGATATGGTTCGCGGCCATCACAATCAACTTGGGCCCGACGTTCATGAGCGGTGCCCTGGCCGCTGGCTCCGAGGTGACCCGTGACCGGCCGGGATGTCCTCTCGTACACGGCCCGTTTCGGCACTACATACTCAACGCCCTCTGGATAATCATCAACCTGCTGTGCGTCATGCTCACGCTGTTCCACCTGCGCAAGCTGCACCGGGACCTGACCAAGGCCAACGTGGAAGCCGTCCGTGTGGCGGGACTGGTCACCACGCTGGTGAACGTCACCGGCAACAATTACTCGGACCCGCGGCACGCCCCCAGAGTGAGTGTTCCCGATATCCTAACGCTAATATCATATGTGAAAGGTACAGCGAAAAAAACCTAAAAGAACATTTTTTTTTTTTTCAAACTGAGAAAAATATGTTTTTAATTTCAATACGTAACGATATTTTTTTTTTCACTAAGTGAAAAGTTCGGATTAAATTAAATTACATCGAAATGTCTGGTTATCAGTCAACTTGCCTGTTTTTTTTTTCCTGTAGGCCTTAACTTCTAGCACCCATTACTTTCGACTAGTCCGGTTTTTTCGCCCGTTCAATTGCATAGAAGATAGAGTACATTAATAGAAATTGTTTGATATCAATTAATTACCACTGTGGAAAAAAAAGTGACTTTTCTGGGTTTTTTCCTGTACCCTTTAGGTGTAGTTTGTTTCATCACTGTCCGGAAAAATGCCTTTTTACAGTACGCCGTCTATTGAAACACTGTCTAATTTTCTAATTCTCGTCCGCAGAGAAGTTTGGGCGCGGTGGAAGAGCATCAGAGAATGCGCAATTACTTGTTGCGCATCGAGAGGGAAGGCGTTCAAAAGGTCAAGATGTTCGTGGTCATTACCGCCGCGTACGTCATTTTCTGGGGACCATTGTTTTTCGTCACACTGGTACAGCACCCGCTGTCCAACAACCATTCCGACTACGAGGTGAGTGTATTATAATTAAACGAAGGGTTAAAACATCAAAACCGGTAAAACCTCCGGAGTCCTTCGATATCGAGGAGTAAATGGGTTATTTGGAATGTATAAGTGTTATCATTAGAAAACTTCCGAAAACTCTGGTAGGTTTTGGGAACACTCCTTATGACCCTACGCGTTTCAGTACACTAAACTATTTGCTACTGGTGTATTGAAAAATACATGAAATTAAGCAGTTGATTAACGATCGATATTGTGCTTATTTTTCAATTGAAAATTCTGGTTTTTAATGTACGAGTTAGTCGTAGTTAGTTTACATTTTTGAAGCTGGGTCACACCTATTGCGTATTATTTTCCGAACAAACTAATATACTCGGATTACACATTACAACTTGAGTGCTATAAATATTTTAAAACAATTAAACACCAGAAATAAGTCACACAGTATACGTCAAATATTTTAAGTTGTCAGGCCCAAGAGTCGAAAATCCCATAAAGGATGCCTATTCTTATTGCGACGGATTAAAAATCCAAATTAGTAACACTAATTTCTCTAATGAACAAAAAATAATGACTAATCAACAAACACTACATCACATTGTAGTTCAGCTTTAAATTCAAAAAGAAATGATATTTCTGGATCTACAGAGAATACAAGCAATACATGCTTTATAACGTTTGACCTTCAACAATGTTTTCCTATTCCATTCTTGAAATTAACTTGCGCGAGATTTCTTTCAAATGATAGTTTCGCATCAATAAACCGAGTAAACCCTCGTGTATCGGTTTCGGGTACTACATTATGATATACAATAATGTACAATAGTGTATTGTTGATGCGAAATCTCGTAATTATTTTTTCGTGTCTATTAACAAATTGTTTACCAGAAATCTTGCTTTAACGTAAAACTTTCTTATAGAATTTTTGATCTAGTTAATGCATTGAGGCGGTGATTTTTTGATTCTCCTGGTAGTTTTATTTGATAAAGTTAATAACAGCTTTATGGCCATAGTTTTGTAACATTAATTAAAATCTATTTACGAGGTTTTTCTAAGTTTCAAATTTCGTAAGTCAGATTTCTACATCGAAAAATTTAAATTTTTTTTTTTTAACAGTATCAATTTTAGATTATAATTTTCTTTTTCTTTTTCGTCTTCATCCCAACTATTTAGGATTGTCCACTAACTTTCACTTGGTCCGATGTTTTATAGATGATAATAATATCGGTAAATATACATTTTTTGAACATTTATCTTAATTTTAAAAAACTACTATCAATACTGTTTTTACAAGTGCAATAAATTATTGAAAATTTAAAATGAGATGAAATCATAATCAAACGATGTCTTACAGTAAATATAACTGAAGTTTAAGTAATGATAAATTTAAGTCGTAAAAAGTGATAATAAAAAAAAAAAAAATCAAATTTGTACATTTTTAAGTCTACCACTTTTCAATTCGTCTGTAATATTGTACAATATTAACTTACGAAATGTTTGCCACTTAAGTGATGACGTTATAATCAGGTCAATTTGCAATACGTGCATTTACACGGTATCCGCGCTGACGTTGCAGGTTACGTTGCACGTGGCCAACGGACATTCGTTCGTCAACGCCATGCTGTTCCTGGTGCTGCACCGAGGCCTCAGACAGGCGGCCGCGGACGCCTGCTGCACGAGCATGTCGACGATGGCCAGGTGGCTGACGGCCGGCTGGTCGCCGGAGCCGTACACGCTGGACGCCGGGTTTCCGGGTGCATCCCCAGAGCCCGTGCTCGCCGCACCGCCGCCACCGCCGCCCACCAGCATGCCGGCCTACACGATCCGGCACTCTTCGATGAGGGTAAGCCTTTTATAAACGTTATAAGCGACGTAAAGCGCATGTGGAATAAAGAGCTGATACTGTCGATGGGTATGTCGCTGTTACAGGTGGGAAATTGGGACGGTAGGATATAATTTAATAGCGTTATTGGATTTATGTCCAGGCAAAGTTTTGGTAAACACGTTTTGATATGTCGTCATACGAAAATGCGTATAAAAACGTACAATACCATAGAATTTGTTTGCCACTAATATTACTCGATGAACCTCGAGCAAAATGTTCAAACATCTCCGGTTAGCCGAAACAATTTCTTAGCAATAAATCACAAACAATCGCTAAATAGCTAAGTGGTTAAATTATTACTAAATGGCCTAATCTAAATGCAGACGATCTAAATAGTTCAAGTAATATATTTATGTTATCTATACCTTTTTTGCCGAAAAAAATATTACGTCACATAGTGACTTAAGATAATTTAATATTTAAACATTAAGACGTTTAAACCGAAAAACAAAGGGGGAAAAGTACACAATAATAATAAACGAAAAATTTCGAAAATTGACTTGAGCCCTTTTTTAGCTTAAAACCAAACACATATAGTTGTATAACTACTCGTGGTAGTTAGATACTACTTTTTTTTTACGTCTCTCCGTCTAATATGATTTCTATGTGGTCGTCGGTCGTCGATACCGAGTAGTCGTTCATTTGCGGTCATAACCGCATGGGTCATAGTCACAGTCGGCAGTCGTCAGGATAGCCTCCTCCAAAGACCGAAAGATTCGTCCACGAACAGTCAGAATTGAGTGGAAAATCGTGTTTACGGCTGAGACAAGACCCAGTGAGGACGTCGTTTACGCCCCCCGCATGGTCGCCCAATGCGGCTGCATACAGGGTGATTATTTTATCGCGAACCCATGGCGATGGTTGTTATATCAGATCGCAAACCGAGAATTTTTTTTTATTGTTGTAACCACATACATCGAATCGAATCGCTAACGGTTATTTACAAATTTTTCAAAGTTTTCAAAATTAACTTTTATAAATTGGGTGGTATCTGTATAATTAAATCGATGAATAAATTGCGAAGTTAAAATACAGATGTACGTATATGACATAATTTGCCTACACGAATATGACGATACTGTACGGATTTCGTTTTTACTAATTTGTTTGGGGAACGAAATCGACAATAAAAAAAATCATCCCATGTATATATTGTGTAATACATGTATCATACATAGATAGACGTATGAACGGGTGATCCATTTATTATGAGAAGCAGGAAGAAAAAGTTATCGTCTGAAAACGGATATGCAATTTACTATCATCCCCTTTTCATCCAATAAAAATAATTTTAAAACGTTATAAATCGTAAACGGTGCGTTCGATATTTGTACAGTATTACGCATATAAAAATTGTTAGAAAAAATATTCCCTTGCGTGGAGGTGCTTATTCTAAAGCCAAAAGTCGAATATTCGTTTGAGGTATACAAAAATGAGTAAGAGTAAAAAATATAAAACTTAAATGATTCCATTATAATGACTTCGCATATTATCAAGATCACTTAAAATCCTCCGAGAACAATGCTAATTCCTGACGATAAACCAGGTGTCTGATACCGATTATCTAGATATTATATCGTAATTAGATAAATCAAATATAAATCACCTGAGCCGTTATCCATGTTAAATAATCGAAAAATGTGCGTAAATATTTTCAAATCGTAATTTATAATTTTATTTGAAATGCAGCGGGTGAAACGTTTAATATTAATACGATAATACGGTTTAATAAATAATTTATTAAGTTACATAAATCACATGCATACGTTTTTTTTTTTATATTACTCTCGGTTTTATGATGAGTAATGAACAAAATATAATTTTTTTTTTTTTTTTTTGTACTCGGATAAACAGTCCCCGCTCGTTTATATATTTTATCTGTGGTTAGTTAAATTGTCACGCATCTTTTATCTTCGTCCAAGTAGACAAATTATCTTTCCGGCAATTATTTCCTATCCTTATCTAGATATTTTTAAAACGCATCGTTATACAACATCGACAACAACGAATGGATCATCCTGTACAACAGGGAGCTTCCCTCCGCCGCCGCGCCGGCCGGAATCGCGCCCACCGCGTTTGATGGATAGACTGGTGGCAACTCGGAAGCGCCGGCGGCGGCGGCGGCGGTTACCCACGGGTTACATTATACAAGAGTAGAGATCCGCCGTTTCGTATACCTATAGAATATCGTCTTCCGCAACGTTTTCGCTCCGCCGGGCGTCGTAATAATGAAATGCATAACGATGTACAATACCGGCAATGCGGTTTTTTTTTTTTTTTTTAATTTTTTTTTTCCCTAGTCGGTTCGATACTATATCAACTGTCCGATCGTCCGCGAAACTGTATCGTTATTCCGCTATCGACTCATTTGCGCAAATTTACGCGAAAAGCATACGCGCATTGATTGAGATGGTATCACTGTACATTTTTTCACGACACGCGATATTATCATGACGACCGGTGACGTTTAAAACATTCGAAAAACTATTAGCCGGTACCCCGGTGCCGATGGTGGGCTGGGGGGAGGCGAACGTTTATTCCCGGACGTGGACATTTCCAGTGACGCATTCTACGCGTATTTTACGGCGCAGATTACCGTCTCACGCGCAATGTCACAGCGAGTATAAGTACCTCTTGGCGAAAATTTGAATTTGTGCAATTATGACATAAAAAAAAAAAAGGGTCTTCTGTCGGGCCGATTTTCTTTTTTTTTTTTACCAATACCTAGTTTCAGCCATTTATATAACACTTGTCAAATTGAACTATCTAATCGTCTTATCGTGTTATTAAACGATAGAAAGAATAGTCCATCCTGCATTTTCAATGAAACTGGTTTTTACAACGCAGTGCGGCCTAAATACAATTGATCTACTTACAACAGACATAACATTAGTCTGCCGACCGCGGTACGTCATAGTATAATAAAACAAATAGTGAATGATGACTTTTGTAACTTACTTTTGAAAGTTTTACTTTTTATTGTTATAACTTCTCGATTTTATTGTTTCAAATTATCATTTATAGTCACTAACAATAGATCGGTTGTATTATGTTAATGTTTTGTTTCTTATGTATTCTTACTATATTTAACATTTTAAATTTAGGCATTACTAAGTTATAATTTTCCGTTCGTTCTTGTTAAAAAATAATTTAAATTCACCTCCGGGTCTTTTTGAGCTTCATTTATTACAAAATATGATAGTCAATAGAGTAATATTTCATCTTAATGAAAATAATTTTGTCCATATCAACCCTGTTTTGTGTAAATAGTTTCTCATTGCAGCATTATGTTACGATTATGTGTACCTATTTGGTGACAGTTTCAGATTTCTATGATTATCCTCAACTGAGTTACAACAAAAAACAAAATCGAAATAACAGGAGTCGTTATCGCAAAAATATTTCCGTTTTTCCGCCGTTTTTTTTTTCTGATTTTTACAAATTATTAAGAAAACTACGCGAAAAATAAAAATACCCTTCTCAATGTACCAAATAAACAAAATTGTCAACCAAAATTATTCCTGTAGTTGATGATTGGATCAAAATTACTAGGTGGGAAATTTTTTACAGACAAAAAATAAAAACAAGTTGATACTGGGGATAGAAGCGGCCACTGTTGTAAGTGAAAAGTTGGAAAGATAGGGTATATAAGGTTATTTCATTTATATCCGTGAGCAATGATAAACCAATGCTTAACGAAAAACGATTCCGAATGCATGATCAAATCATTTTTCTGGTAGAAAACGTTGTTCGTGTTTTTATAAAATAATGAAATCGTGAAATTGTACGTTTTCCTACGTTTTTTCCAACTTAAGTGCTTTTATTTAAAAAAATTCGTTGAAAATCAAAAAAATGAGTCCTTTAAAGTACAATCTAGAAAACTTGAGCTTCTTCTCGAAAAGCTGCTAAATGTTAAAATCCATGCAAGTTTACTAGGAAAAAACGTGTCCACAGACTAGAAGAAAGAAAAAAATAAACATCTTTGTAAAACCAATAGATCCCTCGCTACGCTTGGAATCAAAAATTATTTTTGCCAATTATTATTTATGTGACAGCGAAGTAAATTATAAGCAGGGCTTGGAGTTTATAACATTAAAAATAGCTGAAATATGCGTCATAATATGACATAAAAATCTTAAAATGTTCTATAATATGCCATAAAAAATGCAACGAGAAATGGCAAAAAAGAAAATGTATTTATATTTTTAAATTTTAATTTACAACCGATAAGAAGTCATAAATGTAGACTGTTTAATGGACCTACTGACGCCGGGCTACTTAAAAATAGATTATAATATGAAACGAAAACGTATTTCTCTAATGAATTCACATAAATTTAAACATTTTTTCTACTCATTGTGAAAAATACAAAATAAATCGTTATACAGCGCGTCTCAAAAGTCTTTGTTTAATTTCAAAAATTTATATTTATTTTAAAGTAAAGATATAAAGGTGGAATAAAGTAAATATATTCTCAGAACAATGAAGTTTTAATTAGTTTTGGTTAAAAATATTCAATGTGACCCCCACAGGTCACCCGACACACGTCCGTACGGTACCTATTACAAATTCCTCCCAAACGAGATCGATCTGAGCGTTTCTGTGCACACAAAACAACCAATATTTCCTGGAACATTTGATACCAACGTAGAATGTTTTGAGCAGCTGAGGCTTTACTTCCACGAACTTTCCGAAAATCACGTTGAACAGCTATTGTCGACTTGTACCGACCGAAACAGATGACTCAAAACGCTTTTTGTGGTGGAATAAACTGACGATAGTTCATTAATCATTATGGAATTTATCAGTAGCGTTACTTAAAATAAACTTGACTATCTTATCATCCCATTAGAATATTATAGGTTGTCAACCTGCGATTAACGATTACTGAACTATATCAATTCGTAATCGGATGAAGATTTGAAACACGTTGTATTTATACGTATTAGCCAAAAATAACACCAAAAGTTGAAAAAAATCTAAAATACTTAAAATATACAAAAAATAGATACATACAAATTTGACATCTGGAGTCTCTACTGCATAAAACAAATGTAAAACTTTTTATCCGTGTCCTATAATAATTAGAAAACGCTATGAAAACCGAGCTCCGATTATAAGAAATAGATAGATAAATACGTATATTCGTCCTCCCCGCCATTGTACAATAAATACGTACTCTGATATTGAAATAGTTAAAAACTATATTTAAACATTGAAAAAAACAAGGAATACTGCGTATTACCTGCCACAATCATATCAAAAATCGATTATGAACAAAGTTCAATAAACCGATACGGTTAAATACAAGCGTTTATTCCTTTGTAACGCGCAAGGTACCCCAAATATCGATAAAAACAATACCTATATAGGTATTGTATTTTATTGTCAGTAGAAAATCGTTTATTTTTTTTTTTTTTTTTTTTTAAATAAAGTAGATAGGCACAATGGTACTATCGAACGAAAAATTTGGGTTTTTTGTGGTATGGAGATGTGAACAAAGAGTAACATATTCGCTAATCAAAAAAGTGTTTATCCAAGAAAAAAAACAAAACAATAATTTTTTTTAGAATCGTATTAAACACAGAGTGTTGACATTCCGCGTCTTTTAAGATATTGCGTGAAAACATCATAGCATTTTTAACAAGCGAGATAATATTTTTTGAGAAAAATAAAAAACCACGTCCCATAATAAAACTTCACTATAATACACACTTCAGAATCTAAAATAATGGAAGGCCGAAGAACTAATGGGTGTGCCACTGTTTTGGAATGGAAGGGACGATATTGCAATATGAATTTATTTATTTTATACCTATACACAACGATAAAAATAATGGTTAACGAAAAAAGATACTGAGCAGAGTATTTTCTGCCTTGTCAACAAAAACTGTTCAAAAAAATTGTTAGTTTTGTCCATTTATTAGGAAAACTACTACAAAAAAAAAAAGAAAAAAAAAAGACCTTCTAAACGCACTAACTATTTAGATGAAAAAATCTACAATAAAAGTCTCGTGATGTTTTTGATTGGTACAAGGTTTCCGATGCAAAAGTCGTTCGAACACACACACGCGCACACACACACACACGCACACACACACACACACACAAAAAAAAAACCTCACCGTAATAAAACCGATGAATCTAGAATCCGGGACCAATCGCGGACGGCGTTGATGGCTTCGTCATCATTGGACAAAACTTATTAATATTCTCTCGACGTGTATAAATATTAATTTTATAGTCGTACCGCGTATAATAGTCGTTTACCGGTCGTATCCAATTTGTCCGTGCGTGAATAACAAAACACGTACCCGGTATCCGTAATCGTACGAAATTCGGAGACCGACTATACATGTTCATATAACGCACAGGTATAAAATAATATTATGTTAATATTTTAAAAAATTCGATTGTCCCGACGAAAAAAACTCGCCCGCGCCCGTAGTTATGAGTGCGTTTTGCATAATGTAATAATATAATGGAATGAGTATAATCCGCAGCCGGCGGACGAGTATGCGGATTTCGTGTCCGGTGAATTCCTCCGTACGCGAATAACGGAATAAATAATCACAATTGTATTACTCGTGTTTTTTTTTTTTTTTTTTTTTTTTTTTTTATTTTGTTTTACATATTTTTGTTTCCATCTAGGGTACGCTTCTTAGCAGACAGGTAATGTTCGAAGACGTCGTTGTGGTCGTCGACGTACAAAAATTCCAAACACGTCATTAGGATAGCAAAGAAAACAGAAAAAATACATAAAATCAGCAACAGAGCTCTGTCGCTATAAAATCGAATTTTCTCCCTGCTAACTTGTTGCTATAATATTTAATATAATATACAGTATGATCCACTAAGCGTGCTCATCCCATTTTTTTTTTTTTCGGTTAAATTTTACATGTATTTAAATTCTGATTTTCGGAATTTGTAAGTGTAGTTAGTGCCGATATTTTCGTATACTTTGATTTTTCACAAAGTTTAGAAAATATATATCCTGTGGCGATACGAACTTTAGTTTTCAAGTGAAAATCTATATTACAAATTCCATAAATAGACGGAGTATTACATTAAATAAGCTACGGTGTTAACATTTTTGATTTTCGTTAACCCGTTGACGAGATATGTCACTTTTAAGTTTTGGCAGGAGGAGAGTAGTGGGGCACTAATAAACGTCGCGCGCAGTGTCGGTACTCCAATGGGAATTATGAATGATTGGAGAGAGGGTTGAGAGTTGAAATCTCCAAAAGGTTTCTTTACCGTATACACACACACACACACACACGCACAATTTCATTTTCTGGACTCATTTAGGGGGTATGTAGTGGTGTAAAAAGTTAAAAAAACCACCCTTTTTTCGCAACGACATAGTGAAATTCAATCGAAACTGTATCACTTCAATCTGCATATAAAAACGATTATAATTCCCGTATTTGAGGGAACATCTAAAAGTTTCCGAAACTATGGAGGGAAAGACGTACACACAGGGTGATCGACATAACGCGAGACACTCATTATATCGGAAAGTATTAATTAAATAAATTTACGGGAAGAACCGGAAATAATATTATAGGTGATACGGCACATATAATATGGCGCGCCGATTTCATTGTTTTTAATTTTGGAAAACTTTGTTTTCTACTAAATATACTAAATATATTGCTTCAATCAAAAAATACTAAGCGAGTGCAGTATTTTTCGTTGCATTTTGTATCTAGTTGCACAAAAAGTAAATCGTTTTTTTAATATTCTTAAGTAATTTTTATAATAATCGGAAAATCCGAAAAATGAAAAACCAAATAATTTATAGCATAGGTACACGATTTCATTATTTAATTTTTTTACAAACCGTGTTTTCCAACTGAAATATTGCTTTAATTAAAAAAATTCCTAGAGACTTTTCATGTTACATTTTGAAGGTTCCTCGTGAAGTTTGTCGTTTTTCAAGTAGTTTTCATAATAATTGGGGAAAACGTAAAATAAAACTCGAAAAAATCACGGCGTTACGATTTCATTATTTAAAATTTGTACGCTTTATATTTTCTACCAGACATATTGCTCTAATAAAAAAAAACGATAGAGATCTTTTTCATTGTATTTTTATTCGTACAGAATTCATTTTTTGTTTTCCTTGTAGTTTTTTTTTAATCATCGAGCAAAATTGAAACAAAACGTAGATAAAACGGGGAAATGTACTAAAATTATTATTTTATTATTTTCAATTTCGTCTTTTTGTTTTAACTCAGTTAAAAATATTCGTAGAGACTTGAAATTTCGACAGAAACTCATATTTACTTTTTCTTAGCGTGGTAAAGTTTTGAAAATATTGAACTATTTACAGATATTTTATTTTTGCGAATTTTGTGCATAGTTTTTGTATGGTAGAAACTCTGTCGATAAAATTAAACATAAATGCTTGAAAATTGAACAGGTCATTCATTATAAATTATACTTATACTTATTGTTAAAAAAAAAAAATTGAATGTAATGTATTACATGAAGTATTTTTTTCTTTTTATTAGAATTTTAACTAAAATCGTAAATAATAATATTACAGCCTTTATAACATGTATAACAGAACTTCGTTTTAAATTTTTTTTCGTTAGCAAACGTTTATTATCTTACAGATATATAAATTAAATAACTTTATGTAACCTACCTTCCTAACTTCTCGGCTACAACAATGACACACCCGTACCCAGTTTAACTTTTATTTTTGTTCCTTAACACGCTCGGTATGCTTTTCAAGTATTTCTTTTACAATAAAATATACCACTTACTACTCGCTCGAGTACAACGTCCTACAACAATCAAAATAAAACAAATCCTTCGGTCCTTCGTGTCTTCGCAAAAATGCAATTGATAATGTACACCATCGCCTTTTTACCGTGGGTAAAGTCTTTCATCACTCGTTTTTGTACAAGAAAAAGCACTTTAATCCGAGTTCAGGCGAAAAGTTTTATACGAATACAAAATTATTTTTGACGATATATATATATATATATATAGACAAAAAGAGAGACACGACAGTGATCAAAATCAAAGGTATTCGAGCATTCCGTCACAAAATAAATGAACAGTCATTCGTGTTATCCGCCGATAGACAATAATGAGGGTCAGATAAAAGTGTTTCAAAGCATTTTTGATCAATAATAAAAATTGCATTTCTCTATATTTAATGTTTCTATTCCAATAATAAACATCACGATCAGAATTTTTCTCTTTTTCTGCGATCACGTTTTGAACGTGCGGACGTACGTGGACTTATGGCGAATAAAACAATACCGTTTTTTTAGGGGTGTAAATGTTTTTTTTCTTTTTATCATGAAAACGTACGTGCTTTCGGCTAAATGAAGGAAAAAGTTACAACTTCTAATACGAGTGTAGTCGTATTTCGTAGGCGTAACGAGTTATTTTTGAACGGACTATTTTTTGCTTTGAATACTATTCTAACAGAGATTATTGATCGGCAAAACACAGCTCCGTCGATACAAATAAATTTAACTGTCGTTTATCTTATCCCCCCCTATCTCGGTGAAACGTTTTAATTTTCACTCCAACTTATCAGCTTTTTAAACAGTTTTTTTGGTCGGATTTATATAATACCTATCTCGCAAGAGATTTTACATTAGGCTGAATATGATGAAACTCGGTGCAGTCATTTTGGATATGATGCCATATTACATTTGTTTTCAATCATTTGTTTTTTTTTTTTTTTACTTAAAAATAATATTTAGTGGCTGAGGCCTGAGATACACCATTCAAAAGGAGAAAACGAGTAAAATTAGGGCAACAATCGAATGAAAGCTAACGGAAAAAAAAACTCAGAGAAAGGCCGGATAACTGTTGGTGAACAGAATACAGTAAGATATTTAGAAAATTTGGAAGTGAAATAATCTAGAAGAAAAAGATCCAGGGCCGTAATTATTGAAAGATAAACAAGCTTTGAAGTATTATTTTGAAAACATGTTACTACAATGTATTAAATCATAATTGACACAAAAAATTAAGATGGTTAACAATGAAAACCAAAATGGATGTTAGCCATGATTATTCAATTTTGCGATTTCAGTATTTGTTTGATGACACAAATTCTTTAGATTATACAGACCTTCAGTCTCTAATTTCTTTGCCCCTTCAAACCAATATTACTACTGTGTTCTACACATTTGGAAACAAGAACACAAGAGTATCGTTACTAACAGTAATGAAGTGTTATAGTTTACCGACACAGTGTACATTAATTATCAATTATAGCAATCATTATGATCCAGACATATTTCCATTTTCCGAACATATTCATTTTATTAAAAATTTAGTATTCACTGTCCATTACCTACACTGAATCACCAGGAAGATTCATTTATAGTTCAAAAAAAGACGGATATACTTTGCACGTGAGTGGACCATTATTGTAAGTTGGGAAGGTAGTAGAGGGGAAATTTAATGTATATTTGTATTCAACGATTAATCATTGCTAACGAAAAAACGATTCTGAGCGGAATCCGGTTAATAGTGTTGCTTTGTCAGCAATATATGAGTCAAATTATGGTTAAATAATTTCATATGCATTATATGATTTTCTTTAAAAATATTTGATTAAAATTGTACCTATTTTTCCAGTGTTACCATGCTTTTTTTTTTTTGTTATTCCCATTTATTATGAAAAGTTGTTCACAGGAAAAAAAAAAGCCGTAATATTTTTTTATTAATACCTACATTTCGTAATTTCATACATTTTTCTGTTTTTGATCCGTTTTTTCGCGGTTTCTCTCATTTATTTGGTTCAGTCCTGGAAAAATCAAAAAGAATATGGCAACAAACAATTAGCAAAGTGGCCGCAAAAAGCTAAATACTCCACTATATTTGATTAAAATTGTACCTATTTTTCCAGTGTTACCATGCTTTTTTTTTTTTTTTTGTTGTGTTCTTCTGTAAATAACTTTTCTATCAGAAATCTTGCTCCAGCCAAAAACTTTATGGGAACTTGTTTATAGTATTTTTCATTTAATTAATGCGTTTTTGAAGATAATTTTTGATATTTTTTTTTTCCGTTGTAATTTTCTAAATTACAACAGTTTTCTGGTCATAGCGTTGTAAAATTTGTTAAAATCGACTCCCGGGGTTCTTACAGGGTACTAACCGACAATATAACAGATGATGTGACTCTGAAAAATATAATGTCCTGTTTTTCATAATGTACTCGTATTATAGCAGATAAATAGTTACAGGACTTATATACCGTGCACTACGGCTGCTGCAGCATAAATTGCAACTATTTCGGACTTTTAATTATTTCTGAAGACGGGCAATATTTTCCGCTAAGCGTGACGATAATGGCTGAGCCCAGTATTTGCGGGTAGGTATTTCTAACAGTATATATACTACGTGTGCACATCATTCGCTGTAGAGGACGGAATGTGACTGAAAATTATACTGATTAAATGGACGCCCTTATTTAAACTGCCAGATCCCTTTGCAGAGTCCCTTCGAAACTAATTACCGTTACAAAAACAAAAATCTATTTATTTATTCGATACCTATCTGCGTTAAGTAAAATACCGGGTACATATTACGTATAATTGGGATTTTGTGTGTTTATAAAAACCGTTTTACGAATACGTAATAATCTCTTTGCGAATTCAAAATTAATGGCATGCGGATGTACCTTGTGTACCGTGTCGTTTGAAAATTAAACGTCGGGATTATTATCTGCAGCCAGAAGACCGGTTAAAAAATACGCGTTGATAATATTTTCAATCAATAGTCATGACAAATTATCACAAAATAAAGTTTCGTAGTGCACGAAAAAGATAAATTTCAAAATAATCATTTGAACAGTTAAACTATATAAAAAGATATCGGTCGACGGTCGACCAACTTGATAAAATGGCCACCTGTATATATCACGAGTATATTATTTGTGTGCTTCTATAATGTAGGTATCGAAAGGATTATATTATGCCTGCATATTATTAGGGTCTTAAATGCAAATTACAATTATTTTTTTATAGTCTAAGACTATATTACGGTGTCTATATACCTATACAGATATCTAAGAAATTCCCGGCTTTCATCTTACCTAAGGCAAATGATTATAATAATAAAACAAATGTTAAAAAACCGACATATTTCGTACCATAGATGGGCTAATGTTGTAAGTTAGGAACGTAAGGTACACATATAGAGTAGTTTATTTTATACCTGTACCCAATAATAAATCAGTCCAAAAGGAAAATGACTATAAATAAGCAAGTTGGTTCAACATGTTTCGACAAATTTATATTGATCATTATTTTGTAACTAATACATTTTGGAAAAATAAACTATAATTAGTTTTGTTTTTGTCAAATTTTAACACAAAATGCTGATAAAAATAAATTGCATTTTAGACGTACCGCCATAGTATACGTATATTGAAAAATATTCAATGATTTTTCAATTATTTTGAACAAATTATTTATAATCTATTTACTTAGGTAGTATAATAGATCTATACATTATATTATGTCATTAAAGAATTATTTTAGGTAGGTAATTTTCGTATTAAAAATTTATATTAATTTTAAGTAAACTTTTAAGGGGAATTCATACCGATCGAAGTGAATACATTTTGGGGCATGACGTGCTGTAGTATCCCATGAACGTGGAAATGTTTTGCGTTCGATTGTGTTGGTGTTACTACGGAAACCGCAGCGTCACATATTAATCGCATTATAATAATAGAATAAAATACAATTAAAGTGACTTTCCAATTTCCGACTTACCCCAGCCCGAAACCATGATATTAACCAGTTGACAGAAGACAAAAGACAATTTGTTTTCTTCAGGTGTGCGTCGGACCTTAGGAAATGCCTCCCGCCCCCGGTTAAACACCATGACCATTTATTATCGTTATAATACCATTTATTACGATAATAATATTATCGTGTTGTTATTTTTTTTTTTTTTTTTCAGACCAGGTCGATGAATCGGTTCCCGGTGCACCGGGAAGTGCTGCACAATGAATACCACTCGTCGCACCCTAACCTACACGACATGTCGGTCTTCAACATGGGCCGGTTGTACAACAGTCACGAGTATCTGCCAAACGACTACCGGCGCTACAATCACAGCTACTACCACCACCGGCCCGAAACGCCACCGTGCTCGTCACCCGAATGATTCATACCTATCTCTTCCCGCCGCGTGCCAGTCGTCCCCTCATTTATTATATTATTATAACAATATTATTCCATGTGTGTTCCTGTTATTTCGTTGCCGTGGGGCTCACCCGCCAACGCAGTAAAATAATTTAACTTCTTCCGCGTGTCTATCTCTCTATATATACATATTAATTATTATTATTACGTAGAAAAGGCCCGGGGTATCGTCGGCAGGGTCGGGAGGGACAGGATACATTCACGTTTCACTGGGTGTTATAAAAAACGGCTGAAAAATCGAGATCAAACGTCCAACCCGATACTGTTCCGAGGAAGTTTATGGCCCAAGTGTAAACCTAAAACCTATAGCGGTATGAAAAACCACGTCGAATGTAAATAAGTGTAGGAGCGAAAAGCAACCGTGACGTCGAGCAGGTCACATTTTGAAGTAGAAAAGTATAGGTAATTTTGTCTATCGTGATTCAAGGTCAACAATTCGTTTCCATTACGTTAGTACCGATACTAATTTAATATTTGAATAACTAGTCATTTCTTCTTTTTTTTTTTTTTAGTTTTGTTACTTATAACCTGAAGAGAAGTGACATTTTCTCCCGTAGGGGATTAGGTATATACAGGGATTGCCCATTACCAGAGGACGAGGTGGTAAGAAGTTACACCGTATACATTAGATAAATAGACCCGGAATAATCATTAAACCATTATGTCATATGATATGAACAGTATTTTCGATTATAACACTAACTATAAAAAAAAATATTATATATTATACCAACTTCTTGTAGGATATCAGTAAATCCACTGTTTTGTTTTAGTGATGTGACGTATCGTGAATGAAATAATTAATGTTAGTCGTGTCAAATCGACTCGATTATCTATTGTCGAGTCGATGATTTCCAGTATTGGGGGAAAAAAACCATACTAATATTCTTTCCGTAAAAAAAAAAAAAATAATAATAATAATAATAAAAACCGCACGTACATTATTAAATTGGCTTTTAAGTATCGCATGTAAAACGGCCGTCACGACGAATGATAGAAAATATCGCGATAGACTATACGATATTATCGCATCGAGACAATATTTATTGTACCTTCCGTCGTCGTCGTCACATTAATCTTCACCACTGCCGTTTTGTCGAGTGTCAATTTTTTTTCTCGATATACCTATGCAGCCATCGTCATCGCTTCGCCCGAACGATTCCCTTCACTCGACCCGACTCGACGTCGTCGTTGCAGCCGCTACGACTGTTCTATAAAATAGTAAGGTCACGTCACCAGCTCCCGATAGAGAACCTATATTAAATACTCGTAGACAGGGATGGGCAAGATACTTTACAAACGACTACCTAAATACTATTGATACTATTTTTAGTCCCTAGATACATGACACTAGATGACTATTCGATACTTGCATTTTGTGTATTTAATTACTAGATACGCTCGATGCATTAAAAATTAAAATATTAATTACATTTTTCACGTAGACGTGTGGTATCTTAAAAGATGCGGTGATTATTTATTTTAGACATTTTCCCGATTTCCAGACGGCTGTAATCAATTCGCACCAAAATGTATAGAGCATGCGTAGTGTACGCCAACATTTTTGAATTGCGTTTGTAACTTGCACCAAAATAAAGAAATGCAATTTTCCCCGTTTAATATATGAATATGTTTAAAATATGAATTGTAATTTAAATCGATTATTATATTGGTAGCGCATACGCGTTTAGAAAGTAGAGTATAAGATATTGATACCTACCTATATGAAATAAGTTAACATCAAAATATTCCATTTCGGATTCTGAGCGGTTATTCCACTAACTTATTCAGTATTCACGCCGTTCTACGGTACGCCGGTATTGACTTTAAGGCTATTTAATATCAATCATGTATGAAACATATACATAGATACGTACTCATTTTAGTGTAAATTACAAACTCACTTTCGTTAAACCATTTTTGAATTTTAATATATTTTTTAAAATGTCAGACGGAAAAACGACCCGGCTTGACCCCTTTGTTTCGGGTGCCTATCGGTGAGATACTTTAAAATGTGTATCTAGATGATCGATACTCTCCAGAACTGTATCGCAGTAAAAAAAAATACAAAATACAACTGTATCTAATTTACTGTTCAACCCTGCGTATAGGTGTTAAGCAGTTATAGAAAATAGCGCAAGATACTATCACCGAGTCCGCTCTATTCGTATCCTTTTTTCGTATCCGTTTATTGTTTTCGTATCGTCGACGACGACGAGCGATCTTCCGGTTTCCCCTTGTCGTCGCCCTACTCGCCCACCGTGCGTATACTTACCTATTTATTTTTATTCGTGTTGCTATAATAGCCCTCCTACTCTATCCCCGCGATCCCCACCGCCGCCGACGACACTTTGGCCTACTTTTCGACAACCATCGCCGTCGTCACCCCCGGAAACCGCTCACCGCGGGCACTCACGCCCGTTTTTTGAATTTAAATATATATACGTTTTTGTGTGCTAGCACGTTCTCGTAATTATTATTTATTATTTTTTATTATTATTATTATTATGATACGTATAATAATAAAATATAAGATATCATTATAATAGTATTATATTTTATATATTATTATCATCATCGTTTATATTATAATTATTAATATTATCATCATCGTTGTACACGTCTTCTTGTATCTCGGTGTCGATTTACATTATGCTATGTGAAACAGCCACATATATAAAACAACTATAGATAACCGACTCTATGAGTAATTAATCTGAAGGTTGGCATTCATATTATACCAAAAGCCAAATTTTACGAGTTGAAATATTTGTTAAATTATTTTAATACAACTGTTAATATGAAAATAATTGAAATCAATCACAAATTGTATCTATACCATCGCACATGGCCATAAAAGAATATTGCTTGTGTTCAAATCAATACGACGTGTCCTCTTTTACTTGCAGTGCCAATAGCTGTTTATACCTCTTCAGGTACTCTATCGAAGAGTCGTGTATCATCTATAGTATTGTTTTACATTGCGGAAACTACAAAGTAAAACGTCTATTATTATCTATACATACTATACAAATATTATATATTTTAACTGTGTACAGTACACTTGAATGATATATCTATCTGAAATCCATATATATTTATATATTATTATATTCCGTTGTACAACTTTAATAATAATAATAATAATGTAGTACAATCAAATATATATAACAAAATGTATAGGCTAGTAACCCGGTGGTTTGTCTGCAACGGCCCGTTCGAAACCAGCTCCTCTCTTCGCAACTATAGAGAAACGCAAAGAAATCGATATGCACGTCAAAACTTATGTATGTATATATGTGTGTGTGTGTGTGTGTGTGTGTGTGTGTGTGTGTGCACGCGTATGTGTGTGTGTGTGTGGTTTATGTGTGTATGTGTAAATGAGTGTCGGTCAAAAGTTTTCGAGAACTTTGCTGGCGCTCACGTAACAATATATACGAGTATATGCGTATGAAGCGAAAAGACCAATTCTCTTTGGGTAACAAATAAATTTGCTGACGCTGAAAAATCATCCTTGTTTTTTTTTTTTTTTTTAAAAACCGTCACGAGGTCCCCGACATTCAAATGCGACTCGTTCGATGATAAAATAATATGTACTCAGATGTAATATTATTATTGCGATACGAGGACGAGACGATTCGACGGGGAAGTAAAAACAAACTGCACACAAATTACAACGATAAAATAACGAGAGTCTCAGCTGTCAACGGTTATGTCGTTGTCTACCTTGCGTTTGCCCGCGAGTAGATAATACGCACGTGGTTTGTTTTGTAACGGAAAGATAGAGGGTTTGAGATACGAAAAGAACTAAAAAAAAAAAAAAAACCGAGTCATCGAGACGCTCCGCGTGACAATCGATTTGCGCGCACAATGTGCAGTGCGTATACCTACGCGGAAATCAATCAACGACACACGTAAGGCGAATTAAACGATTTGCGCAGTGTGCGGAGAATTTAATGTTATAGTAGTGTCTATGTTGTCTTGTCTGCCTGAAAATTAAATTCCGCACCGATTCGTATTAAAGCAGTTCGGTATTATACCGTTTTTACGTAATGTGTACGTTTTAATCGCAAAACGTCTTGCAGTTGTTTCGGGAGAGCTGACAATTTTATTTTTATTTTTTTTTTTTTGTTTTATTTTTCTTTCATTTCCTCGATATTACACGAGCACATAAACACACACACATACATCCTATAAAATATGTTATATATTCTTATACATATATATATATATATATATACAATATATTCACTATTATACCTATACACATTATAATATTATATATGCCTATATATATATACGTTAAGTATTTTTCTACGTTCTCTTACGAATTTTCTATAATGTACAATATAATATTATATAATATACTATGTTATATTATGCAGTGGACTCGTAACGTGTTAATTATTAAATCCGCGCGATTGTTTTATAATCCGTGGATGCAGATAGATATGTTACAATAATTTATGTAAAAAAAAAAAAAAAAAAACACTTTAATGATTATTATTATTATTATTGTATACCTATACCGAATATATTATTACATCTTACTTACTATACTATAAA